CGAGGCCAGATCGGGCGCAAAGCCTTGCAATTCTGAAAGCCACTGCGCGCAGTGGTCTTTGTTGAAAAGTATTCATGGTGTTTGCCATCAGTACAGGCCGTTATCACGCGTCTAACCAGGAGTTGGGCCGAGTCGTTTATCCTGGTGTCTAGGATCCGTGGTTTATTTATTGTATATCGGACTTACCATCACGCTGGGGATACCTTTCCTCCAAAGCACGGATCAGTTCTGCCTTCAAGTCATCCAGGCTGCGCTCCTCCACTTCCCCGGCTAGACAAATCCAAACCAAATTATAAATTATAAAAATATCACGGTGTATAACAATATTCTGCTTGTTTTTCTTAGATTCTTAAATTCTTTCCACGATGTCTTTTACTTATCAAAAGGTACATGTTTGTGAAAAGTGTAAGAGATAGTTTGTGGTATGAACAATGCGTGACGTATTTACCCATATCCTTCTCGACGTAATCCTTGAAAACATGTTTTCCCACGTTGTCTTCATTCGGAATATAAGTACACTAAAATGTGTGGAAAGAATGTTGCAACCTGACGCCACTTCAGCGGGTGTGTACAAAGTCTATGTAGAGTCACGACAATTCAAGTATTTCCTAACAAAGTTAATCCTTATTTAGGACACCTCTATTTTTACGAATTCTGTTCAAAACTGACTTTTGCAGATGACTATACATTGCCAAAGTGACTTTTGTAGGCTAAAGCAGTCTTTTTTATCCTCAGATAAACTCATGTTAGTTGTAATTTTGAAAGCACTTTCAAAGAAAATGTGACTTTCCTACCTTTTTTTGCAGTTCGCCATCTTGTTTTTTTTAGTCTATTTTCTGTTTGTCATCGTCGTCCTTTACCCCTCATAAATCAAAGCCCTGCCCTCTTTCCACAAAATTAAGCCTGCTGATATTCAAGAAGGTGTCATTGCCAACTGTACAAATGTGTCAAGAAATATCAGAATGTCACTTTTGAGTGTCATTTAGTCAGCTGTTTGGTAAGTCTTTTAACCTTATATATGAACGGGGTCCTAAATGTAAGGATTACCCTAACACAATTGGAAATGTCCTATAGATTCATGTCTTATCGTTTTTGCAATGACTGACCCTCATTGATGATATATGAAGGAAAAGGTGGCGTCAGGTTGCACTATTCGAACCAAATGGATCTCATATTGATCAATTCCGGCCTAAAAGTTAAGGCTTTGAACGGATATAGAGATACTCACCGGGGTAGGCATAAGCACCACTGGCAAGGCCGACGAAGACGACAAGAAGAAACACCTTCATTTTGAGCGACTGAGGATTCGTCTGTTTAGGATTAAAGCCCACACATAACACTGGTTAGGCCTACTGATTTCGGTTCGATCGAGTTAAAAATAACCGAGAAAAAAAATGAATAATTCACAAAAATCAACTATCGCAAACCTTGTTTACTATGAAACTCTCTATGTTATAACTTATCACGAAGATAGACAAGACGCGAGTCCAAAATAATTTATAAGCCGAGAGCTGTCCGCCGTTACACTGCTTCCGTCTCAACTAAACGAAGCTATGCCAAGCTACCTAAACCACACCCTGTCCGATCGGATCATGAATTATGCTCACCCAATTGTGGAAACCCTCACAAAGCGTGTCCAATGAGGCAACCGAGTATCATTGGAGCACGATATAAGCCTACCCGACAGCTATTGTTTCTTATGGCCTCGGCCAAAGATAATTGTGCTTAATCCAGGCACAAGGTTCCCCACAAAAAGGTTTATCACAAGGGGGGAGGGGTGGTAACGGACGTCCGTGCCCCTCGGGTGCCCCGCATATGAAATCTTGAAATAAACAAAAGTATATATCACATCACCTGCCTTCAGGTGTCCCCCGGCCACTACCTTGAAAACATTGTCCACCCCCCCCCCCCTCTCCCCCAAAGTGTGCCCCCTCAAAATTGTCACCCTAGTAAGACCACTACTTATAAGGGCCCTTTTTCTTGAGGGGCATATTCAATGTGTTTTTAACGATAAAAAGCTCGTTTTTGATTGCCTGAAAACTCTGTATTTAGGGGGGGGGGGGGGTAACAAGGGGGCGCAACCTTCCCCAATGTGTCACCCCTTGTTTACGCCCCTGCTTTGGTTCGAAGATGGTGATTCCTTGCAAAGATTGAGTACCGGTGTAGTACACCCCAACTGTGGCAACTGAGCCAACGGCTCATACATAGTTGGGTACTCCCAACTATATAGTTTGGCTATAGTGTTATACATGCCTTACTGTATGGTCAAACTATAGTTAGGACTACCCAACTGTGGATGGGCCATAATTGGCGCAGTGGCACAGTTGGGGCATAACACCGGTAATGAGGTTTGATCAGCTGGAAAGATCAGCAACTGATGAGACAAGTATCCCTCCGATCGTCTTGAAAATTCGTGACATGATGGACAATGCTAAAGGTGCACGCCATTAGTGCGTAACAATGGCGCGAGGACGAAGCCGTTCTCGCGCACGAATGGATACCGAATAGAAGGTCACCTACTCTAAGATGGACACAATCGAGTCTGAAAGTGAGAAGACACGCGGCAAGCTTCTATAGACCCCTTGCGCGGCCATTTTACACTGGGTTGCTCTTTCCCTTGCTATAAATTTTGGTCAGAATTATCTCTAACAGTAATCACCCCGTCAACATTCATGTCGGAATTTTATAATTGGTATTTTTGATGAAAATAATGATGAAAAATCACTTCGAGATGGGTAAAAACGAATGTCATGTACAACCTTTCACATTCCGGCATTTTTGTTCCTATATTGGTCTCCTTGTTCGTTCACGTTGCCACATCGCGGACTTTTCGTGAGAACGAGAATAATTATATAACGATGCGAACCTTTCCGTACCTACAGCCGATGGGTTCTAGATTTAGTCGGGCTGGCTTGAATGCACTCCTAATATCAGCGGTCATTTTAGATTTGTTTGTAAATGCTAATGAGTCTTTCAAGTTTATTCCAAAAAATGTCCATCCTAAGGGATATTTCAGTCTTCTATTTAAACGTTTCAGTTTTACCTAATGAGCGCCATTTTTTATTCCATGTTCAGCCAAGTACACCGATAGTCCACATAAATTTTCGGAAGTGAGAGGTCAATTTTTGGCACGATATTTTCTCTATCACGTCAGGTGAGTTTCCATAAATTGAGATGCAAGTTGCAATTTTACAAAGGCCCTTTTCGAGGATGGTTATCTTATTAAGAAATCACTGTGCAAAAAAATAATTGCAAATGCTAGACATTTTGCACGTTACTTGTTCTATTCAAGGGTTCCTGACGCGGCGGCCACCATGAGGGAAACTTTCAGGCTCCATTGGCACAAAGCAATCCCCGAGCGAGCAAACACATGGCGCAGTTTCATTGTGGACACCCCAAGGACTCTCTTATTGGCAATTCATGTAGCTTGATGGCCTCGTTTGGGCATTTCTTTGACCGATTGGTGTTTGTTCCAAGATGGGGATTACGTTGTTTAGATGAATTTTCCGCTTGAAAGATAAGCTCTCGGAGAAGTCAGTACATTTTGTTTGCCTTTTGAGTCACAGTTTTCCCCCTCTGGCTCCTCCCCCGATGAGAAGACCTAAATACAGCGGTCCCAGGGGCGGATCCAGGAATTTTTGCAGGGGGGGGGGGGCGGGGGGTTCATTAGCAAACAATTATGAAATGCAGACGGGTTTTTTTCTCCGGACACTTGGCCTTCGAAAACCAATAGGTAAGGAGGGGGGAGGGGGAGGAGGGCTCGGCTCGTACCATCTTTTCAATGGGGGCGCTGTTCAAATAAGACGATTATTATCACTATTGTTACAAATACATGTACATGTATAGTGTACGAGAATACATCATTAACAGTAAATTAACATCATCATTAACAGTAAATTATTTTGGGTGTCGGCATTATTTTTAATGAATTTCTATGGAATTTTTTTTTTTTGACAGAGCTGGGGAGGGGTTTGACCCCCCCCCCCCCCGATCCGTGCCTGGGCCCCGATATTACAGGCGAAAACGGATTACATGTACATGTACATGTACATATACATGTAGTCCCATCTTCGAGTATTGTCAACCAAGACAGAATCGACTCCGTGAAGGTATTGATAGGCCTGCATGTCATCACCTTCCCTGGCTTTGTGAACAAGACACAATTGGCCCAAACTTTGAATACCCATTAGGGCTAATAAAGATGCAGTTTCATTGAGGCTACTCCCAAGATCTTTGACTCGGATTTCAAAGGACCCGTGACAATTTCTGCCGTTTAGTGGCCTCAGTCGGTGGGGATTTTCTTTCGGATGAGTCGGTTTCTCGTCCTCCATAATCTCGACCCAGACAAAAAAGTGGCAAGACTTCACGGTATATTATTGCCCTAGTACATTGTGGTTGCCATGAGGCAAGTGTTATTGCACTAGCCGATACATGTAGTAGCAATAATATCATGGCGATTTTCTTTGCTTTATTTTTAAGTCTACTCGCTGCGCTTAAAATGTTAAGCCAACCAAAAACTTCGGCTTTCATTTCCTATAAAGCCAATAATACAATAACTTCAAAGCAGATGCCAACAAATAAAAACCAATCACTCAACATTTTCCCTTTACCGCTTTTATTAAACAAAATATACAGAAGAAACCTACCACCTTAGTAAAAGAATAAGTTCAGTAATTTAATCCGCGATTGACCCAGTTATTATATTCTTCGTTTGATATTTTCTTTAAAAAACATGAAACAATTAAATAGTGTAAAAGTGTCAACCAACTTTGTTGAGATTTTCTATGCATTCCGGGTAAATGTACAAAGTCACTTTGAGAAAGTAGTACAGTCGATCGACTCTCGTTAGTACAAACTCTGTTAATACAAATTCTGGTTATAACAAACATAAAGCCTTGGTCCCGACTGTGCATTTATGTGCACAATGAATGGGACTGACGTTCCTCTTAATACAAAATTCTGATATAACAAACAATTTGGCTAGGTCCGAACGAGTTTGTATTAACGAGACTCGACTGTACATCAACTTCACGTTTATTTCTTGTAACATATAGGTTTGTCTACTGAGAGGGAAATAAGTACCCAATATTGTTTGTAGTTACAAAACACTTGCAGTTTGCTTGGGAAACAGTTTGCTGAGCCAATATAACGAATACTTTAAAAGCAGAATGATTTTGGTGGATTATTTCTTACAGAGTAGAAAGTTCGCTGCTTCTGATATGTTCAGTAAAAATTGATATTTAACCGCTTGTACATGGACTTAGCCAATTTGTGTTTAACCAAATAAAATAAAAAAAAAATCAATCCAGTTTAGTGATTCGGGGTCGGTGACCAGTCTTGGATGACGTCATCGGCGACAGGAGCAGGATTGCTAATAGTCCTGCAAAACAGACGACAAAAGGGGAGGGGTGTTAATTGGTCTGATAGTCTCGCGTAATGTTATTTGTATTAGCGTATACATGTACATGTAATTAATCTGTCATGTGAAACTTGCAAATTAACAAAAACCTTATGACTGTAAATGGAGACCAATGAACAAGATTAGTTCTCCGCAAAAATAATGAGCTTTGCAAGCATTTCCGACCTATGACAATTTTTTGAGGCCTTGATCCGTTGAGTTTGTGAATGAATAGATTTGTCTTATTAACTTACCGGCTTCTCCTCAAATTCACGCTTATCTGCAAAGATTATGAATGAGAAATATTATTTAATATCAGACAGGACATTTTATCCTTTTACTCCAAAGAGCATCGGAGCGATTGTGTATACAAAGTCTTTGTAGAGTCAAGAACATTTTCCAAATATTTTTTTCTCGGTCCCAGATTCATGTCCTGACTGACCTTCATATGAAGACAAAAGTGGCGTAAGGATGCAAAATATTCTTTCCTTAAAGCCAGTTATTGAGGACTCATGAAAAAATTGTTTCAATGCATTTCAATGCAGTTTTGTGTCCAATTGTAATATATTTTGCAATTTTTCAAAAGTGATTTTGGTGACTGTTTTTTTTACGCTGATGCAAATTAAAAGGCTTTTCTACCACACTTTTGAGGTCAGCATTGTACCAGTGTCTTTGTAAATTGCTTTATAAGAGAAAGGCACAATCTAAGATGCTGGTTTTTTTTGCTACTGCAAGTTTAAAATGGTTGAAATTTTATCGGGTTTCACAAAAGGTGCGGCCGTTTGTAATGTAACTTCGCATAACTTACTCTCGCCAAGTGTGCCCTCCAAGGCACGGGTCAATGCCGCTTTCAGGTCATCCAGGCTGCGCTGCTCGGCTAAATAACGAAACAAATGTTTCTGGATCTTAATGGGTTCTTTCAGAACTCTTCTTATTTTTCCTAATTTCATATTTTGAAATATTTAATTGGAAATCGATTCACAGTGCATCATTCCTTCACCGAAATCCGGAGAGGACCGAGTATGTGTAATGATCTCGTTTGTCTGAGATCGTGATGACTGAAGGTGTGAGATAAACAAAAACCGTGGGATTTGTTGATTACCAAAAAACAAAATATAAAAATTAGAAATACTTGGGACTTTTATTGTCTTACCCTGCTCACGCTCCTCGGCCTCCACAGCTGAAAAGCAACCAAAAAGAAAGAAAGAAAAACATTGGTGTTTATAAAGGACAATTGAAAAAAGTTGGGGGAAAAACTAAAAGGGACCAACAATTCCGGAGAAATTTGGAGAAGAAAAGAGTATTTACACTTGCGCCAGTTGTCCGTTGTGGCTATCAAAGGATAAAAACCTCCAAGAATGAATCTGTTATTAATAGACATTTTGCGTTAAGGCGGAGTAAGAGGACAATAGCATTGTTTCCTTGGATAGGCATGGGCAAACGTTTTCTGCATTTATTAATAAATAAAAAAAACAAACTTATCACCCCCCCCCCAAATTTTCCCCGGCCAACAAAAGTGCCCCTCTCGTGGTTGTCAATATGCCCCTTCGAGATGAAACTGCCCCTCCTACGCACACGTATGAAAGCATGTGATCGCACTATTGTCTCCTCTCTTGTAATGAAAAACTGCCCCTCGAAAGCACAAATACCCCTCTCGCAACACTGCCCCCTCTTAAGATAGAAAACTGGCCCCTAAAAAATAAAAGTGCTCTTTCGCGATAAAAAAAAATAATCTCTCCACACAACCACCGTTTTAAACTTCTGTCCACGGATCACAAGAAGGCAAGTGCTTTTTTTTCAGCAACACGAAATTGAATCACATAGGGATGTGTGTCAATTGTTCTCGTTTTGCTGAAATAACTCACACCGGTTTATGTGATCCGTTGACAGAACTTTAAAACGGTTATGTTTAAAATTCCTCAACTTAAAAAGTGCATAAGTGATTTGAATGATTCTTGTACGAAAAGAAAGCTTATGAATACGGCTTTCATATCCTAGATTTCGAAAGTGCTACATGCAGAACTTCACTAAAATAATAGTCCCGACATTTTGGTTTCGCTTTTTTTGACTCACCCTGTACACGACTAGGTATCAAGAAACACAAAGAGCAAGCCTAAGGTGGACAACGGATTCATAATGTGTTCCTCGTCATATAGGTTCATAGCGAAATGAACGAGACCAAATTCTTTTCTTCCGCTTTCACACCGACGGAAGGTTCCCCTTTTTCCCGAGCAAGTGTTCCTTTTTGGTGTTGCCCCCAGTTTGAAAAGCGTTCCGCCGCCCCTGACCAGAGCACTGCCTCATGAAGTCACATCAGTAAAAACACTTTGCTTGATAAACACATAAGATGACCACAAAGCGCTTTTAAAAATGAGCATCGTTTACTGCGCTTTGGGAAGGTAGATTTTCACGTGTGTTTTATTCTTTATTTAGGTCTACTCGGGCTTACCCTGGGCACGTTTCTCTGCAGCCTCTCTCTCAAGCAAAGCCTTACGCTGCTCTCCGTCATCTGTGGGAAGTTACACATAGATAAATAAATTCCGAAGAATGTTGTCTAAAGTCGAGTTGGCCCCATGCCGTTGGACAGCTTTTAGGCAGTCTCGGTAGGACATTAACCCTAACTCCCCAGCATGATTTACTAGGAACCATACCCATCCTGGCAAATTCCAACACCCTATGGGAAACTGCACACACTGACCTTGATGGAGGCGTGCCCATCCCAATGTAAAAGACTGTCAGTTTAGGGGTACTGTACCCATCCTGACAGATTCCAACAAAACATGCTGTTGAGGTTTGATGGGTCGAGTTATGTTAATGAATTTCGGTTCAAGCAGAACAACAAAAGCACCCAGAATTACTGAAACGGAACAGAAACCCTTCAAGTGTTTATAAGAGGCCACCTTTGATCTATCGGACTCACCACGGGCAAGTTTGTCCTCCAGAGCACGGATCAGCTCGGCCTTCAAGTCATCCAGGCTGCGCTCCTCGGCTTCTTCGACTTCTTCGACTAGATACAAATTCACATATTAAAGGGAAAATACAATATTTGCAAACATCAAAAAATAAAACTACCAAATCATTTTGAAATACCTTGCTGGACTGTTAGTGAATGACAGTGTAAAGCATCCTGTAAAATCATGGCACCTGGTATACTGTCATTTTCAAGAAAAGTGGTATTTTGTATCAATTTACAACGCTGATCGGCCGATCAGCGTTGGAAAAAACTGGCTTTTTTTTCAAATACTGGCCCCAGTTGACCATCGCACTTGTTTGCAATCGATTACACACCTATGAACGGGTACAAGCCAGCTGGACTGGTTCCCTGACCTTACAATTCCCCAATATATGTAAACTGCTCTGTTTCTTCTTAAATGGAGTCAGGGAACCAGACTACAGGAAAATGATCGTTTTTCTTGGTTTTTATAGCATTTTCGAACCCAAAACCTCAAAAAAGTCAGTGTAACTATATTTGCTATATATTTCCAACCCTCCAATTCCATCCATTTCTGAAAATTACAGCTAAAGCGAATGATGTATATTCCCGTTAATACACTGCGTGATATTCAGCATTTCAGTACAAACCCACAGAATTGTTTTCGAGACATCCAAACTAATCTCGAATTCAAGGAACCGAAAGTGCGTATAACAGAATGATAAATTCAGAGAAAAAATATTAAAATCACACTATATTGCTCCTATTTTGATTAATAATAGCTTATATACGGCTAAGAATGATTATTTCTCAACACAATGCTGTTTCCCTATTTCTCATTAATTTCGCAAAACTACATTCAGAGATATAGACCACGTTGTAGCCGTGTCCTTCGCAATTCAGCATACCAGCTGCGAGTAAGGATGATTAGCCTCCCAAATTATTATTATATCATTATTGGTATTATAGATATAGACAGTTAATTGAAAGGGACGATAATCAATCTCAAATTGGCCAAAGGAGAGATTGCCGGCATGTTCATCTCCTTTATCCACTTTGCAGCAAATTGGATAACATTACATGCCATTCCTTTAAATTATCTGTCTGTATCTCTCTGGATGATGTATCGAAACGAGAAAGGGAAAACAGCATTGTGTTGAAAAAAATAAAATAATCATTCTTTAAGCGTATGTATTATTAAACGAAATAGCAGATTTTTTAAATATTTTTGTTTCACTGAATGTATCTTTTTTTTTATACACAAAATATGCACAATATATTCAACTGTCGTTTTATTTGAAACTTTGAGGAGTTATGACTGACTTGACAATAACACCGAAAACGTTTTTAAAGTATTTTATTTTGAAAATTAGCAACCTGTTCAAGGCCAAGTCAAAAACAAGCGGAACCCAAACCCCAAATATCATATTTCTCATTTTGAAAATATGTAGCTCAAAAAAATAACAATGACTCGAAAGCCAATTTTCTAAGCTACTTTTAGATGTAAAAAATACTGAAATTGCTCAATCTGTTCATAGAATATCACCATTAAAACACAAGGACCCTTAGACCTCTTTCGTCCAAAAAATGCGATCAAGAATCGTCGACACAATTGTCTTCAAACATGACCAGCGATAAAACCTCAATTGAAAAGTTGAAATTATTCAACAAAGTCCTTTTGCAGGCCCGTATTTTAAAAAAGTGGATTTTATAAATCATATTGTTTGCCTAATTATTTGTTAATAAAGATATTGTGTACTACATTTGTTGACAGTTGTTGAAGCAAGTGTTCTGTGTCATTTTCTGTGTTTATCCATACAGTCAGAATACACAATATTTTTTTGTGACGAAACAGGTTTTATAGGGCCATTGCGTTTAAATGGCGATAAACTTTGAACGGATTGAGCAATTTTAGTATTTTTTCATCGAACAGTAGCTTATGAAATTGGCTTTTAAGTCATTATTTTGGTGCTACATTTTTTTTTTTAAATATGCAATACTTTTTTTTTGGGGGGGGGGGTTGGGTTCCGTTTTTTTGTCTCACCTCGTAGCTCCAAGTATCAGCGTTATGAACTTACCCTGGGCACGTTTCTCTGCAGCCTCTCTCTCAAGCAAAGCCTTACGCTGCTCTTCCTCATCTGTAGGAAGTTACAAAAGGTTAAATAAATACCAATTATTTTTTTGGAATTCCTTAATTTCTCACATGTTAGCTCAAGCATATTCACAATATCAAAAAAAAAAAAAGCAAAAAGAGAACAAAACAACCTCAAGCGCTATATTCCTCGAACCCATGGCCGATTTGGACTACTTTGGAACACGGGGCGTTTTTTTTTTGCAATTTTAAATGTGCATTTTTTTGCTTGAATTATTAGGATCGTCTTTTGTTTTCTCATTTTCCAGACAAGGATAACTGCAGATATTCGTTTAATGGACCGCGTATTGTTTTGCAGCATACATTGTATTTTAACCAATCACATCATACACTCTAACACGAATACTTATATTTATCACTCTGTTTGGATGGAAGACACTCGTTATCTCGTAGTGTTTTCCCTTCAATTAAACTTATCCGAACCAACAAAAAATATTGGATGAAAACGGACATGGGTTCGAACCGCAGATCTTGCGATCCATAGTTCACTCCGCTATCCACTAGGCCACTGTGGCAGCTCGACGAAAGCCGTTCTTTGAAATGCTTTAATATACATGCATGACTAAGTGATAGCAATGGTGTGACGTCATTGTTATTTTCTTATAAATAAACATCAAACTAGCTGAATAATCATGATCCATTGACGATGTGTGCTGCAGATAAAAACACCGCTATAACGGACCCTTTAAAATCAAAATGAAAGCAAGAGTAAATTTTGCCTAAAGTCGAGTCGGCACTGCAGCTGTTCGACTGCTGGGTAGTTAGGCAGTGTAGTTCCGATTTTCGGTTCGAACCAAAAAAAAAACCATCCAGAATTATACCGAACAGAAAGCCTTCTAGTCTTAATGAGAGACCGCCTTTGATTCATCGGACTCACCACGGGCAAGTTTGTCCTCGAGAGCACGGATCAGCTCGGCCTTCAAATCTTCCAGGCTGCGCTCCTCGGCTGAAATACAAAATGACAAAGGAACACATTATAAATCTACGCCATAAAGTTATTGGGGGGGGGGTAGGTGCACACTAGCTACTTGATAACATTTTTGCCGGGGCTGGGCAATCTTTTCTGCTTACTCGCTTCTTGTTCCTCTGGAGCCGCCTCCTGGACGAAAGCACGCTGGAAGTCGGTTTCCTCTTCTGGAATGACAAACCCAAAACATCAAATTAGGTTTTGCTCTTCACCGATGTATAAACACATATATACTCGGGGTTACCTTCCGAGTAAAAGTTTAAAAAAATCACTCGGGTGGGACTCGAATCCACGACCTTCCTGCTTTCTAGTGCAGATGTCTTACCACTCGACCACCGAGCTAACGGGATTGGTTGGCTTGTTCGAATCTGATGTACATGAACATAGCAGCGGGTACCGCATTAACTATTCATAAGATGACATTTTGCGTCGGGGTGATGTACATGTAAATCAAATTAGGTTTTGCCCTTCACCGACGTATAAACACTGTATACTCAGTGTGTTACCTCCCGAGTGAAAATTGGAAAAATCACTCGGTTGGGTATCATGTCTGCTTACCCGCTTCTCGTTCCTCTTCCTGTTGAGCCACCTGCTGTAGAGTCTCCTGCTGGAAGAAAGCACGCTCGAAGTCGGTTTCCTCTTCTGAAATGACAATCCAAAAACATCAAATTAGGTTTCGCTCTTCACCTATGTATAAACACATATATACTCAGTGTTACCTCCCGAGTGAAAATTGGAAAAATCACTCGGGTGGGACTCGGAACCCACGACCTCCTGCTTTCTAGTGCAGACGTCTTTAGTTACCACTCGACCGCCGAGCTAACGGGATCAGTTGGCTAGTTTGAATCTGATGTACATTTTGTACATAGCAGTTAACAATTAGCAGCTGCATTGTTATCGATGACAGGGAATCTTGTTTTGGTGCCTGATAAAACCGATTTTTTTAATCATTTATTCCAAATAAAGTCTTCAAAATGGGAAGGTCGGAAACAATTCTCTTTTTTTTTCAGGTCATCATTTTAGGCTCACCCTGATCACGTTTATCTTGAGCCTCTTCCTCAAGGAAATCACGCTGCTCGTTCTCCTCTTCTGAGAAGAAAAGAAGAAGAAGATAATTTTGATAATTTGTCCGATTAGAAAGATGATCAGTAATGTTTAATAATGAAAGAAGAACTGGACATAAAGCTATAGAGGCGAGAGTATTTCAAATTAAAACAGTGTGCTCCATCGTGTGCATGATGTTAGAAAGCACTCTAAAAACTGTGTGAAGCAATTAAACACAATTTTGCTATCACTTTTTAAACATGTTTGGAAGCTAAACATTTGCTAAATTCCTACACTTCAAGTTTCAATTGCCAAACACTACTCATCTTTACTCTAAACATGTTCAGTATTTAAACGTGTTTACAAACTCATACCGAGAAAGTGTTTAGAAACAGTTTTATTGAATGTACACCCGATTCCACACCTTCACAATCACCCGTATCAAAAGTCACAGATTAAAATAAAATAGCGCACACGGAAATATTAATTCTGTATGTCAGATCTAACATAATTATTGAAAGCGACTCAGTGCACCCAGTTAGTTTGAAAGCATTTTAAACTTAAGCAATGAAGCGTTAAGACGCCCTCTGGAGACGGCCTTTGCGCACAGTGCAAAAATTGAACATTGTTTTCTAAACCCTTTCTTGCTATCAGTTTTTTTTTTATATATGTTTAAATACCAAACATGTTTAGAGTAATTTTGATTTGATCACATGTTTAGCTTCTAAACATGTAGGTGATAGCAACACAGCTTTCAAAGAGCATCTAACGGAAATCATAACAATCGGAAAAAAAATAGTCGGGTCAGGTTATATACTTCTGAATTGAGCAATTTACTGTAGCCCACAAAAGCGCGTGGACACGAACGTACATGTATTTGAAAACGGCATTGAAATCACTGTGAGTTTCTCTAATAGGTGCCTGCCAGACCGAATTCACAGTTTTATTATTAGGAAAAAGGCTTTGTTGCAAGTTTCAATTTATGCTACTAACCATTGCCAAGTTTTTCCTCCAAAGCACGGATCAGCTCGGCCTTCAAGTCATCCAGACTGCGCTCCTGGGGCTTAGCTATTCGTGTAAATAAATCCATTTGAAATTACCAGTCAGAGATGAATTGCATAGCCCATTGAAAAAGAATCCCATACATTGACAGGCTATTAAACTTTTCCCTGCAGTGACCTATCAGCCAGCAGAAAGCGATAACATGTCCTACTAAAAGTCAGCAGGAAATTTTGATCCATTAAATCAAACTTTGATGCGATTTTGCACATCCCTTTTAGGAAGTTACCCTATACATGTACAGTTTACAGATTTGTCAAATGATGACGATCAATACTCTTGATTAATGAAAGGTGTAGTGGACCTATATAGGGGGAGAGGGTATTTCCAAATGATTAATTATTCCATCGTGCCGCTAGTTCTGCACTTGTCTGCATAACAGCAGCCAGAGAATTGGGTTCCAGTGACAGAATTAAATCAGAAATTGAAAATAACAGCACGCAGATATCATAATTCTGTATTTCAGGTCCAACTTATTTTTTGAAAGAAAATAAGTGTGCCCAGTTTGGAAAGCATTTTTAATCAAAAACATCATGAGGTTTAAGACGCCCTCTAGGTGGCCATTGCGCAAATAACTGAAAGCATCTCCCTTCCGTTTTCGGACTACTGAATTAAGAACAGCGTATAAAACGAATGGACAGGAAACTAATAACAACGGCGACATTGAAATCACTGGTCATTGTTAATAAAAAAATACTGCCAAAACGAATTTACAGTTTACAATTAGGATATGATACTATTAATGCGCAAGCTTCATGTTATACTTACGTGCGCCAAGTTTTTCCTCCAATGCACGAGTCAGCTGGGCCTTCAGGTCCTCCAGGCTGCGCTCCTGGTGTTCCTCAGCTAATCGGATAAATAAATAGATAATCAGTTGGAGATGGATTGCATATCAGATGGGAAAAGACAACAGGCAACCTGAAATCTTTGTGCTGTATTTTGTTTATGCAGTGATAATGAATCAGCTATAAGCAAAAATTGGGGGCATACCCCATGTTCCCCAAAATCTATGTTCCCCAAAACCCTTAGGGTCAGGGGGGTTAGGGTTGGGGTACTTAGGTATTGGGAAACGTATGCACCCAGTAACATATATCTGTGTACAGTTTATCCTTATGACCGAGGACTGGGGAGGATTACCAGTGGAAAACATCGAGGGCCTGAAGCCAGAGTCCTCGGTAGTATCATTGTTCAAACCTTGTTGGATATGCCACGATGAGGAAGTTACATTGTACGGTTCAATCAGGAAGGGAAAAAAGTGGGTACTGTATATTTCATTGGCAATGGCAATTGAATTAAAAACAGATTTGTTATGGACTAAATACATAAAATACATTGGTTTTTTTTCTTCTTGCCTTGTCCCAATTGCTGAAGGTCTCGGGCAAACTCATCCTCTAAAACAAAACAAGGAAAAGTGACCGCGTTAATTCAGTATGCACTCACTGTTATGAACTTGAACATTGCAAGACCTACCCCAAAACACAAACGCTTTTCAAGTCCATTTATGGGCATAATTTCAGTATGACAAATAACGCATAGCCTAAATCGATTCCTTGCAATGCAAAACCAAAATTTACATTGTTTGCATTGTTAAATTTAGGTTAATTCAGGGCAAGTGTCAGTAAATTCGGACTTTTTTGTTCACAAGTTTATGGGAATGTCTCACAAAGGTACGGAAAATCGGAATTACTTTTGTCGTTAGCATTTTAAGGCGTGGCCGACACGATACGGGGGCGCTATTCGGTTGGGGTAACATACGAAGGACTTCACCCAAATCAAGCAGCGCCCTCTTGTGTCTGCCATGCCTCAAATGGGCGAATTAAATTGTTTTGGTTTCCTTACCAAGTGGGAAGGCGCAAGCCAGCCCGATGCACAGAGCAATGAACACAAACGTCTTCATTCTGGGGATCTCGTTCGGTGTTGGAATCGACGTGTAAAACCTGTGGAAATCAATATCAAGAAAATGTAATAATTCAGGATATAGACATGTGGGTTGACAATGCTACCAGTACGCCCTCAACTTACATAAGTAGTGCATTATTGGATTTAGTTTGAACCCATCCTAAATCTCTTCATAACCGGATAGCTATTCTTGAAGGATACATGTTGCATTTGCTTTGGGTTCAAATTAAACAAGAAGTGTTTGGTCTTTTTCCACAACGGCAGCATTTCGATCAATCTTTCAATTTCTAGATTTGTTGTACAGGGCGTTACAAAAAAGGAAACCCAACTTCAAAGAATGAGTATGGACAGACGATATGTTTGCTGGCTATAAAACTGGTATCATCTGAAAGCGTAATCTCTTTGCTTTTCAATGATACTATGTTTAGGTCAGTTTCTGAGTCATGCATCACTGAGTATCATTGTCTTGAAAACTGGTTGCAAAAATGCAGTTGGTTCACTTTCACAAAAAAACCCACTGGGCACGGTGTGCCCATTGTTACGAAAATGTCTGTGAAATGGCTTAAATGTTGGCAGATTGTTTTGAACGTGGCTTGGTCAAAACGAGAAATTCATGACAAACAATAAAATTCAGTTTTGAAACCAACCCGACTTGTTTTGTTTTTTTGTTTCTTTTTATGCACTCGTGTCTTCTTCTTGAATACTTATTCTCATGCACACCATGCCTTTTGTGTTTGACATGAAGTGAACCAACTTCAATTTAGCATCAAAATCTCATGATGCATGACCCTGGAAATGTAAACAAGGTATCATTGAAAAGCATAGAGATTACGCTTTCAGATGATAACAGTTTTATAGCCAGTAAACATTCAGTCTGTCCATACTGGTTCTTCAAAGTTGGGTTTCCTTTTTATTGAAACACCCTGTACAGTTTTTTTTTTTTACCTGATTTTTTCAGAGTTGTAACGAGTCACTGATTTTTGTGACTCGAGTCGAGTCGAGTCATTTTAAAGAAGTGACTCGAGTCGAGTCGAGTCATTAGGTCAACAAGGTCGAGTCGAGTCGAGTCGAGTCACAGAGTGTGGTCGAGTCGAGTCGAGTCGAGTCAAGTACTTAGCTCGAGTCAATTCGAGTCACAAATATTTGAACACTAAATTACAATAAAAAGCAACAAACACAAGAGAGAAAGAATACAAGGCACCAGTCTATTACGGAAATCCAAAGACATAAAGTATGCTGTATGGTACCCAACCAACAGTTTCCATTGCTAGCTCACGTCACAGATAAGAAGATGTGAAACTTCGGTCTTATAACTGGTTTGGCTTCGGGTCTAGATTTTGTTGTTCGCTGATCGCTGACAACGTTAAAACCTAATTGCATTATACAAAACTGTTTCTGGTTATTTAAAGGTGGGCCCGTCCGTATCCATTTTTTTGTGTGAAATGGGGACATGAATTTAGCCAGCGTTCCACCAAGAACTTCAAAATCGCCCGAAACCAATGATGAAACCACGGATTGAGAAATGCGTTTTAAGTCTGGTTCCGGGTTTAGCATTACATGCTATAGAACCACAAGGTGGGAGTCCGCGACACGGTGTATGTTTGTTGTTTCATTATGGAGGAAGGAAACAGACTGCCGCTGTATATAAACGTACATTATTCGCGAACATTAACGTGACGTGAACAAAAACTGGCAACGCGAACGGCGCAGCGTAAGTCATTGCAAATATTTTTCGCAAGTAAGTTTTGCTTTTATTTTGGGACTCGAGTCTTATTAACCTTCCTCGAGTCGAGTCGAGTCATTCTGATGAGGGACTCGAGTCGAGTCGAGTCATTTGCTCGCAGTGTCTCGAGTCGAGTCGAGTCATTTACCCGTCGGGACTCGAGTCGAGTCGAGTCGCCAAAAAATGTGACTCGAGTCGGACTCGAGTCGAGTCATTGACTCGAGTCATTACAACTCTGGATTTTTTTGCTTCAAATGTCGGCTGATGACTGCAAATGGTGCCCGACTAAACTTAGTGCAAATATATGGGAGTCCAGAGAGGCCACATAAAGCTTATTCTCGACCATAACCCCATCTAAAAACACGTTAAAATTGTGCAGCAGCAGGATTCCAGTCAAACCAGTGGGTTTGGCGGTTTTGAGACATCATCTTTCGTTGAAAAAAAAACTTTTTCATTTTGCCGACGCGCATGGCTACGGCGACGCGCGCGCATACCAGAAACCGGAGACTTTATTTTTTGGCCTAAACAACCGCACTAATGAAAAGAAGTTCGCTAATTAGTCCCACGCACATCCGGAGTATGTTTGGACTGCGAATTCGTAACTACCGGATTTGCGTGCCAAATGAATAACTCCCATTTAATTTGTTTACCTGTATTTGCTATTGTTGTTTGTGCATGCTGCCGGGGCAATAATTGCCAGTCATTAATTAGAGATATTGATAAACGAGCCGATCCAATTAAATTTGGCTCTAGATGGGCGTTTAGGCCCCCCAAAAGTCTCCGGTTTCTGGTATGGAGCTTGCCCCAAAAGTGGTGAAGCGACGCGGCTTTTTTTTAATTTTTTACTTTGTTTCCTTCAAATGTCGGCTGATGACTGCAAATGGTGCCCGACTAAACTTAGTGCAAAATGTATTGGAGCCAAGAGAGGCCACATAAAGCTTATACTCGATCGTAACCCCATCTAAAACACTTTAAATGTGTGCAGCAGCAGAATTCCAGTCAAACCAGTGAGTTTGGCGGTTTTTTGACATCATCCTACATTGATTTTCTTTTTTTTTCAATTTTGCCGACGGGCATGGCTACGCGGCGACGCGCACGCATACCAGAAACCGGAGACTTTTTTGACCTTAGCTAGGTTGCGAACTTGCGATGTTATTGTTAGCAGGCATGTCTTCGTGCATGACTTATTTTCGTTCGGTGTTGGGTGTTAAACCAACCCCCTACCCGTAGATCCGCATACCTTATCGTCTAACAGTCATTCAAAAGCTAAATATAATCTCCGGGACAAAACTATTCGGATCCACATGTAACAAATAGATTTACTTTATAAAGGAGGAAAAATAAAGCAGTTTTGAGCAGTTTGGAGCTAGAAAGCATTCGGATAGCTCAAACCTCCGCCAAGGCTAAACAAGTTGCCTCCATATTGCCAGTACATCGGGGCCGTATCATAAGTCCGGCGCCTCATAAGTCTGAAATTATGAGACGTCGGACTTATGAGGCATAAAATTGATTTATTCCACCTCATAGGTCCGACGCCTCATAAGTCCGAGGCCTCATAAGTCTGAACTTATGAGACGTCGGACTTATGAGGCATAAAATTGATTTATTCCACCTCATAGGTCCGACGCCTCATAAGTCCGAGGCCTCATAAGTCCTCCGTTGGAAAAACCGAGGCGTTAATTCTCGGACTTACGAGGTGTAGGAGCTATGAGGCGTCGGGGCTATGAGGCGTCAGACTTATGAGCGGACCCCAGTACATCCATAAGAAATACTCGCATGGACTAGCATATAATAGTGCACATTGCATGTGCTGGTTCATTGACTTGTGGGGTTAGATTAGGTGCCCACACAAATCTGCTCCCACAGAGCGATCTAGTGAAAGTTTTCCATAATTTTATGATGGATGACAAATCCTACAACTGTACAATCTGAAACAAATCCTGCATCCAGACGCAGATCCCAATCACTTCCACAATCTAATCGACTTGTGTACCAAGGACACCCCAAACATGTTTTCGTGAAAATGCGTCCATAATTTTTTGAGTTATCTAGTTCACAGACAATTCAACTGTCCGACTAACCAACGCACAAACCAAGGCCAGTGAAACATAACCTCTTTAGCGGAGGTAATTAATGGCAGAAAACAAATCCTTTCCGAACAGAGCATCCATGTTTATTCACAGACAGGTCTCTGGAGTGCTCTGAAACGTGCAAAACTAAATCAGGCCCACTTTACTCACACTTCAGCCAGCAAATTTCGACAAACATTCCACAGGGGCAAAGAAAATGTCCTCAGTATTTCACCAACCAAGTTTGCAGACTCAATTCAATTTTAAAAGAGACATTTCTTCAATATTTTGCACATGAGAGGGAAGTCAAGTGATTTCAAAATGGCGCTATAGACACTAGACTGGTACATGTCCAACCATGGTCCAACTATTTGAAAAGACTGACCCCTTCATTCAGTGTCAATAGTTTGGTGGCTTGACTATGGAGAAATGTGTAGTAAATTGAGATTACAATGTAGTTCCCGCTTCATGCCAGTTTCTTAAATTCTTTTGGCATGGTTGATTGATGCAGTACTGAAGCTGTGTTGGACTGGTTGTTTTAGGTGCCAGTTTATTTTCTTGTTTTGCATGTTTTCAATACCTTAAGTTTTGGGACTCTCATACACAGTATTGAGAGTCCCAAATTTTCGGACTTGTTTATTCCCATCGCGCTAAAGACAACCAATAGACATTCACGAGGAAACCCTTTGGATCGTGTTCCTCGAACCCCGTTTTTGTTTAAATTGTAAACTGTTAAATAGGATGGTGCCATTTAACTATTTTATGATGGAAGTGCATTCCAAGCCTTACTTTCGATTTTGTTTTAATGTGGCTGAAAACTTCAGGGTAATAGTCACACTGATACTAAACTATTCATCAGAGTAGACCGGTATCGCATTGTAATGAACTCTTATCATTTCATTGCTTTCATTTCTAGCCGTAAATTCCAAAAATGACGAGTTTACCTCGCTTTCAATTCAATATGGTCGACTCGTATAAAGTCTGTTGTCAAAGGTTCGTTGCGCATCGTGCTAAGCTTGCTTGGGCGCGACGTACGCAGCGTAGCGGAATCTCAATAGAACGAGGCCATGATGCCAACAAAAATGCTCAGAGTCAGGAACATTTTAGGTTATGAAAGGAATTCCTTGAGCGAGCCTCTTGAATAGCTGAGCTTTTGAATAACTACCTGATGCAACTGAGGGGTACATCCCAGTAAATAGCCCAAATATCCATCCGCCGAGCTCATGAATAAAAGTTATACATTTGTATACTAACATTATTCTGTATTAGAGAGTTCCGAGAGCCATGGAATTGGAGAATAAGAGATATGACCATGAACCTCTTGCCCAGACTTGGGACTTCCCAATTCAGGAACATTTTGGACGCAATCAATATAGGGCCCGAAATTGGCGTTATTTAGCCATGTTGTGGAGTGATCCATTTTCAAGATGACTACTTTACCAGTTTTAGAAACATCACTTGTTTGAAGGAGTTAATTGTCTGCTTTGGATGAGTATTTCTCGAAAAGTCAATAGTCAACCCACCAAAAATTGAAAAGGAGATGAAAGACCACCATCGTTTTTCTGTGCAGCCTGAGCAACTGTGAGAGTTCTGAGTATTTTTTTGAAAGAATTTGGGGATTAAAAATTACCGTTGCAACCTAACGCCACTTCATATCAGCGACTGTGTAGTCTGTGGATAGTATCTCCCACATCCGATAGAACATTTTCTAGGCGTTTCCTAACAAAATTGGAAATGTTTCTCAGTCCCAAATTCATGTCTGATCATCATTTTTTTGCAATGAATGCATAGCCTTCATTGAGATGTTACATTTATATGAAGAAAACTTGGCGTCAGGTTGCAACATTGTACATGTACTTCCAAAATTTGCCCTGGGAACCCCCTTGGTAAAATATGTTGCATCCAACCGCCACTTGTTTTCATCATACCATCTCAACGAAGGTCAGTCACCGCCCAAAAAAATGTTGAAAGGATTATGAAATTAGGACTAAAGAAACATTCCCAATTTTGTTGGGAAATAGGTTGGACAATTTTGACTGCATAGAGTTGGCACACAAACGCTGAAGTTGCGTCTGGATACTACATTCTTTCAAAAAAATAAACGCATTACAATGACCGCACTCACGATTTCTAAGTCTTAATTTATACACTACCATCAATTTGGTGTCTAAATATCTCATTATCTTTATAGGTAGTTTTAACATTAACTTTTTTTCATTCACTCCGTACATCTTAAGCCCAAACAAGACAAATACAAGACTAGTGTATTGACTACCAGCTCGAGGGCGTGGCAACTAAATTTCTGATGCCATTGCACAGCCGAGCACGAAGTAGCCAATGTGTAAAAAGACGGGCCAAGTTTAAAGCGCACTTTGCTCCATATGGTACCAGAAAGTTTTTTTTGTCTAGCAGAAACTGATCAGGATCTGACTGAAATCGTGGTTTATCTTATCAGTTATAAAACCGGCATTAGAAAGGAATTTTGTATGATTAGAAAAGGTGTTTTGTATAAAGTAATATAGGTTTTGTATAACACTCACGATACGGGTTGGGGTCCAGCGTAGGCGAGTTCCACAGTACAAGCGGTTGTTTTCGTCAGTCTACCTGCGCTTCACAATGACGAGAACCTTCGCTCACATAAATCCTATGATAGTTCAGCCTACTACGCTTGAATGATTTGGAGGAAAAACCCGTGGGTAGTTATACCGAACTTTTATTCCGCCAACAATACCCTTTATTGTTGATACCATAATGCCCTCCGTTCGCATAAACCGCACACATATACCTCGGGCTAAAGTACCTTCACTGTTGGAGGGACAAATCCTATGACGTCACGACCGACGCTTTACCCATGCGCAGATTGCCAGAAAAGACCCGCATGAAAAGTCCGAACGTTCGATGAGGTTGATTCATGCTTTTAGCTATTCACGAGTCACCTTCGGCCGCGATTCACTGCTATTGTCATGCAAAAATAAATCTGCGTTGACAGTCCTTTTATTACACCGGAATGAAAGAGGTGGATTTCAAGCTAAAAAAGAAGAAGACATGTCCAGGTTAACGCAAGAAATGTCTGCATTTTGGAAATAGTTTGCGTGTTCAAACCCACACGCTATTTAGTTTTTATGGAAGCCCTACACTTGTTCTTATCAAGTTTTGTTGTTTCTTGAAGACGAAAGTGAACAAGATTGGGTCTCCGCTTTCTTATTTCAGTACTAGTGAACCGCTTTGATTAGCTATACTAACAGCGCCAATCACAGTGTATTTTTTGGTATGGAATACATAGGCCTACACCACGCATATTCTCTTTTTCTTATGACCGTGTCAAAATCTGAGGGTTAAAAAGTGCATGGTGTATACCGTCTGGTCTCATGCATGATCAAACTTTCGTTGACTGTCTAGTTATTACTTCCTCGGTACAAAATGTACAGTCTGTTCCCGACTGTGGATTGGGGGGGGGGGTACAAAATGTACGGTCTGTTCCCAACGGTGGATGATGGGGGGGGGGGGGTGACCCAGGGCGTAGCTACCATAAAACAAGTTTGCGCCCCAAGACGCCCCCCCCCCCCCCCCCCCAATTTGGCATCCGAAGAAAAGCACATCCATATACATGTACCATGCTTAGCTGGAAGAATATCAAGTCCCTTTTTTTCCGCGATTTTGTGGGTATTTATATCGAACCTTTACCATTTTTTTTTTGCGAGTGCCTGTTTATTGTAACGTCCCATGGAAAGTAAATAGCGGTAGTTATTGTCTAATGTAGCCATGATATACGTTTTGAACAGCGCCCCCATAGGAAGATGGTGTCCAGCCCCCCCCCCCCCCCCCATATGATTTTACGGAGGGCGGATGTCCGGCGAAAACAAACCTGTCTACCTTTCAGCACGGATGAAACTTGGGCGCCCCTCCATTGTAACCTCAAGTCCCCCTCCCACACGCCCCCCCCCCGCACACTCGGATGAGAACCCTTGTTCACCGCTGCGTGGACCATTGTCCCGCCCCAAACGAACCATTTCATTATTTTTATTTTTGTAAAGTCACCTTGCAAAAAAGGAACCCACTGCGTACACTTGGCTCTGTGGATAACGGGTTATATACTCAGACTAGGCGGAGCCATGGTCTATAATATTTGAGCAGATCGCACAATTATTGTGCAAGACAACCGCATCTTGACCTCTAGATTTTGACCGGGCGCTTTCTATATTGGGTCTTCGGTCATTCACCCGTTGTCGAGCAATAGACATGAATAAAAAACACCTAGACACAGCAACTGGTCAAGCGCTGTGTATGGGGTGTATGACAAAACACTATACATTTGAATGAATTGACCAATCAAAAGTTTAGTCCTGCTTAGGGCATGAAATGACGCCACAACTTAGTAAAGAGGACTCCGATTGGCTGAGGCGCGAGATCGCATAAATCTACATGCTTCGATGTATCAGACGTTACACATGAGTGGCTCCGTGGATAACGGGTGATACTCAGACTAGGATCCTACATGGCCCTGAATTTTCCAAGGAAACAAAGTTGCTCATTGAAGACCGTCTTCTGCTCAGTGTGGCATGATGATACGGGACCATGCCATGAAAAGGAGAAGAGGAGGGGGCTTTCTTGTCATCCAGGGGCTTAGATTTTAAGTAGCTTCTTTCGATTGTAGCAAAAGGGGGAAAGACTCATCCAGCTTTAACACCATTGTGTTATACGTACAAAGCGAAATGCTTCGGATGACTGCGCAGCAGGAGGAGCCAATGAAATCGCGCCACGCGTTCTTCTTAATTCACCAAGGAACAAATAAGCCTAATGCTGCACTAAGAAAGTCACAACACATCTCTCAAGGTTTTGTATTTACATAGAAACATTAAATCACATTGCAGCTGCGCAAGCCTTTCACTGATGACATGCTGAGCTCAATTCCCAATTAAGTTGCTTGATAGGCTTCTTGAATCTGGGTTTTGTTTGTGGCAGTCAAATTCTGTAATGGCACCAAGTTCTACGCAAGCCCGTTTCATCAGCGCGATGACTCCGTCATGTATCTTTTTTTTTGTAGACAATGTGTTTTGGAATTGAGTTTGAGTTTCATCTCTTATAGTCCGATCACGATGTCTGATCCAAAGTTGTAATAACAAGTCACTGAAGTTTGTGACTCGATCGAGACAAGTTGAGCCATTTTCAGGAAGTGATTCGCGTTGAGATAGTAGGTCAAGAAGGTCGAGTCCATTCGAGTCGAGTCACGCGTACAGTGTGTGGTCGAGTCAGTCAAATTTATGCTCATTTCGAGTCACTGACATTTGAACGCAAAGTACAGAGTAGAAGGAACACATGCACCAGTTTATTAAGAATATTTAAAATATGCTGGAAATTATAGACCGCTTTTGATGGACGTTTCTACCAAAGATCAAAAGTTTAAAGATGTACATAGCAACAGTTAGCAAGAAATGAAACCGGTTTTATTTCGGGTTTGGAATAATCATTACGGTGACAACATCAAAACCAAATTGCAACATACGAAACTAGTATCTGATGTTTTCTGAAAGCAGAACATACATTTAGATGCAGTCTAGTTCCACCAAGGGCTTAAGAAATCAGCCGAAGTCGATGATGAAACCAAGAATTGAAAAATGCTTTTAAACTCTGATTCTGGGATAGTTTGTGCCATATGTACATTGCATAAAACCACGAGGTGGGAGACTATAACACGGGTATAATGTTTGTAAGAAAAAGCCGCAATTTGACGGTAACGCGAAGTACGTGAACATAAAAACTGGTCTGATCTCATGCCTCTACAATCTCCCACCCTCGTAGTTTAATTATAAGATTTACAGAAGACACTCGCCATAGTATGGCCACTCAAGTAAAAAATAATCTAGTTGTGTGGATGTTTGTATTATGTAAGCTACAATGATGAGACAGCCTCGTGGTTTATTTTTTTGTGATCCAGGAAATCCACACTGATCTATATCAATATCATATGGTTCATAAATTAAACAAGGAGCAGCTTGCTGTTTCTGCTAGCGCTGCCGTAGTCTTGGTGCAATACGTTCTTACAGCGGGGTAGTTCACGATAGACGGTAGCAGACCAGTAAATAAACTTCCATAGACCCCAATGGTAAATGCTCCCACTTCAAAAATTCTGGAAAAATACTCACAACTCTCCAAGGTGTTCGAGACACACATCAAATTAAAGCTTATTTCATCATTTTTCATTTTCTTTTCAATGTCGGGGGGTCAACTGATGACTTTTAGGAGAAATTTCCATCTGAAGATGATCACCCCTGAAAATAGTCCTGAAGCCCATCGCCATTTTGAAAAACGATGCCTACACTCCATTGCAAAACAGAGCGCTTTCAGGGTCCAAATTACATCCAAATTACACAGAACTGCAAGCTCCCAGTCCTGTGCACGGCTTCCACCCATATTTTTTTTTACAAACCCTCAAGTTCATGGCCCACAGCATGCTCAAATACTGAAGATTTTGAGGGCATGCAAATCGTGATTTGGCCGGCGTAGGCAATTTCGGACCGATTTACTGGTCTGCACCCCTAGGGGCCATATTCACGAGTCGGTCATGTTAAATTGAAAGTTACGTAAAATCTAAATTTTTACGAAGAGAAATGAAAGCAGCTTAATCATAATAAATTCCAGTCTGCTTCAATGGATAATATTAAATTTGTATTTAAACATTCCCTATAATGTTAAAAGCAAGATAAAAAAAAATGCCAGTCAAATGAGGCTGCAATGTGCCTGCAATAAAATAGTCTGGCGCCATCCCATTCAACAGTTAACAATTCATGAAATAGGGGGCCTACATTCAGGGAACTCGACAAAAACGGCCAACTCGTGCATAAGGCTCATGGGAGCAGACCAGTAAACGAACTTCCAAATGTAGACCTCAGAGATAATTACGCACAGTTCCAAAAAATATTTAAAAATACTCACAAATTTCTAAGGTGTTTGAGACACCCATCAAATTATAGCTAATTTCATCATCTTTCATTTTCTGTTCAATTTTTGGGTGGTCATCCCATGGATCCGCCCTTAGTGGCCCCTTTGAAATGCTTCTGCCCCCCGGTACAATGGTACAATGGATATCCATAAAACTTTCACCAAATAATGACCAAAATACCAGCCTATAACATATCTCATTTGCACCTGTTTTGATAAATGCTACATATTTTTAAATAATTTCTTTAATTTGGGTCAAGATCATATATTCTGACTCACCCTGTAGTAAATATTAGATAGCGAAAAGATGTAGCTTATAGATACTCCCTTTTGCCTCGTCACATCAAGCACAAACTCGAGATATCCCGATGTACGTCCTTTTGTTAAAGAAACTGAATCCTTCGCTCGTATCCCCCGCCCTGCAAACAGCGGGAGGGGGGGGGGGGGGGTACGAGCGAAACTGAATCCAACATGAGCAATTTTGCATGATAGTACATCCCGCTATCTTTGAACTAAAGGCCGTAAGAATTTCGAGAACTCGTTAAGGGTTACTCGTTAACCAAATTATTTTGTGCAACTTTCTACTCATAATATTAAATGTATGAATAATGACATCCTTTTTGGTTAATTTTACTGAAAAGTGCACTTCTTTATATAAACATTTGCAATTTTTATGCTTTCCGGACAACTGAGGGCGCTGTTGCTGTGATGTCATTCCAGGAAGACACTGTTCAGTTAAGGGGTTTTCTGTTCAAATTGTGAACCCAAAATTTGCTCATTGAAAACATGTGTGAGAAAAGTTTGCTCATTGGCTTACTGCCATTTACTGACACAACGACGAATCACCAAACAAAAGAAGATTTACTACAGCAAAATATAAAAAAATCCAGCAAATTTTGAGCTGAAATATGGAGGTTTCAAGCCCGGAAATGACATCACAGTTTCGCATCACTTAGCATAAAAACCAAAAAAAAAAAGCACCAAAGTACCCTTTTAAAATGGGGAAAAAAACCCAAAAATTGAAAATAAATTTCAATGGGACTCAAAGGTGCACTTTCAAGGATTGCACTGTCATTATATTGAATATAATTTAAATGGAACAGCGCCCCCAATATCCCTCAAAATGATTTTATCTCAGAAAGTCCAAAATTCAACTGTTCCCACACGGACTTCATACTCATGAAGCCAAACACATGTACAAGTACATGTAATACTTGTACAAAGCAGTGTGGACAATATGTGCTGCAACGAAAAAAGGTCAGTTTGTAATTCCAGATTAACCCCGATAATAATGCACCGAGCCGCTAACGGTCATGGTCAATGATCACATATTTCAATTGGGAGTTTGCCTTTAGACTTTGTCCTTCTACCGAGTTTGATAACAAATGACCTCAATAACCAATTTACCAAAGTATTAACACGTGTAATGAAAGAACACGAAACAGATTCTTATAATAGTTTATGCGGTACCCGCTGCTATGTACATCAGATTCGAACCAGCCAACCGATCCCGTTAGCTCGGTGGTCGAGTGGTAAGACATCTGTACTAGAAAGCAGGAGGTCGTGGGTTCGAGTCCCAACCGAGTGATTTTTTCCAACTTTCACTCGGGAGGTAACACACTGAGTATACAGTGTTTAAACGTCGGTGAAGGGCAAAACCTAATTTGATTTATATCACCCCGACGCAAAAAAATTCCATCTTATAATACGAAACAAATTTAAACCTGACCAATTAGATTTAAGCGACCGTACATGAGCTCAAAGGATTCTGCTGGTAATTGTGACAATTTGAGACCAATCTTAAATGGCACACAATTGAGCCACGGAAGACATTTTTTTTAATTGCAGTGGATTATATTTACTTTGCAATGTGCGATGTACACTGCAGCCAAAACATTCGGAGGGCTAGAAAGTTTATAAGAATAAAATAAAGAAACAAGCGCTGTTCAGATTAACATGTATAACATATGTCTCTATTTATTCTCTGTCCAGTTATTTGGGTTTTTAAATATTTTCTTACGTAATGGTCAAGCAAAGAAGACCTTTATTTCGACATTCTTTTACTGATGTTGCAATTATAAATGTGACTTAATGGCAATAGTTGGGCTAAGTTATTTTTTTGAAATTGATTTGATGTATCTACAACAACAAATAGTAAGCCTAATTCTAAATTTATTAAAAATGAAATCTGATCTGTTGCAACATTTGTCACTGCATGCTTCCTAGAAGAGTTGAACAAATAACAACAATAATAATATCAATGAAAATGCTCTGACAGCCTTTTGAATTATTTTATTTAAGTTATTTTAAACTTTGAACACACATGGCCTCATTTCTTTTACAGCAGGTTATTTGTTCTACAGAACGATATTTCAATTGCACAACCAAACCCCCCTTTGGTTAAATATCAAACAGTATGACAAGGATTTTGTTACCACTTGTTCTAAGTACACAACTCATACAACTATTTTCCAAAACAAAATTAAGATATCAAGATTGCATTACAAATTGCATTAAAAAAATTCAGTACACGTACTTGTAAACACTCTCTGCGCATCACATTAATTTTCAGGGTATTTCCCCCCTAATTTAGTCATGAAATGAAAATAATGAAATACATGTATCAGTCCTCCTGATTTGAGGCGTGCAATCACACCCCCACACCACCGCACACCTAAAAGCTTCCCGAGAAGTGTGAATAATTGCACGCCTGAATTTCCCTGGACCACAGATCACACACCTAGAAAATCACACACCTGGAAAAAACACACGCCTAGAAAAATCCAGGTGTGCCTTTTTCCACACACCTGTGATTTTCAAATCGGAAGGACTGATGTATTTAAACATTTGCTGATTATTGATACACAGAATCAGGATTTTGGGGGAATATTTCCACACATTCGACTCTACAATGCATTATTTAAATGCAAATTTCAGTGAAGATAATGCATAAGTAAATCTGTAGGCTCATTTAAAAGTCTACTCAAGTTTCTTGGATTTATCTACAAGCTGTCGCTTGGCAATGTTCTCAAAGAAAAGAAACGTAAAGTGCATCTGCAAGATATCACCCAGGAGCTTGGAGATGAAATGGCCACTGACCTCGGTGAAGTATTCACTGTAGTGGGGCAGGTGGAGATCCATGAGCTTGAAGACTATGAAATTGGCGAAGGTCAGGCAGCACATGAAGAAGGTAAAGTTGTTGCCCTTGCAAGGGAACCTGAAGAAAGTGCTGAAGCTGACATTGATGGCCTGGGCCGAGTGGATGAGCAGCGCGACCTCGAAGCCCAGGTCAGTGAAGAAGACCAGGTTGTAGCTGAGGAGGGAGGAGAGCATGAAGAGGGCCGCCAGGTCCCGATTCCAGCCCACCGTCAGCGACTTGCACCACAGGATCACCCAGGTGAAGAACGGCAGCGTCACCCACTGGTCCACGACGGCGCTCTCGTGGGTCTGGCTCATGATGCGCCAAAACTGGATGGGCCCGTACAGGATGCCCATCCAGCAGAGCGTGCATGCAAAATACGCGTGGAGCTGCCCCACGGCCCCTTTCTTCTCTTCCTGGTAGGTTCGCACCATCCAGTACAGGCCCACTAGGATATACCCGGCGTTTACCAGAGCGTTGAGCGGCATGGCCAATCCCAGCCAAGCGGGCAGTTTAAACGGGCCAATGGCGTGGTCTGCCTCTTCACCGTAGTGCTCAAACCCAAGGTCCACCTTGACTGGCTGGAAGACGCCTTGGAAGACTATGATGACCATGAGTGCCGTACAGGCAGCCACGGGAAGGAAAGTCTTCAAGACCAGCATCTTGGCAAAAGTAGTTACCTGCAAGTACAACAGAAACATCGGTGTCATAATGACTTTCTGTGAAGATGTTAGAATAGATCGTCCAAACAAACTGAGAAAGGATATTGGAAAAACCTACATGTATCCTCACGACGCACCTTAGTAATAGTAGCTGATTGTCCAGCACTGCAGAAGGCATACAATAAATAAAAAAATGTTGCAACCTGACGCTACTTTCGAAACAGAAAAAAAGACAATTTCTTTTGCTTATTTTGTACCTCAGAGAATACACTTTCATGTGAGAACTGTAAGGAATATGCTGATAAAGTCTTTAAGAGATATTTGTAGGCGAACGTGTGACCAACTTAGTAAATTTGTACTGTCACGTGACGGTTGAGGGCGTCAACATGCAGTGACAGGTACGCGTGCGAAGCAAACAAACAAATTTTTTTTCTGTTTAGAAAGTAGCGTCAGGATGTAACATTCATTCCCAATAAATAAATGAAAATACAACTTCAAAACACATTTAAAGCACATTTCCTGCAAGTGTGCTATTTTGTGCTCAACCTAGCCCTGGTGGACTCCCTTTCCTCCCTCCGATAGTCGTATTGCAATGAAGACTTCGTCCAACCTGGGCTAGTGCTTAACCTAGTTACTAGTTTAAAAGCATAACGCAAGGTATACGTCCCATAGTGCAACTGGTGAAGGTAAAAACCGGGATGAAAAATAGACACAATTTACAGCTTGCAATTTACATAACTTGGTAAACCAGTGCTTACGTTTATTCGACAAGCTGAATCTGCGTGAAAAGGTACTGGGAAAAGTTCCAATGAACACCAATTAACTGGAAGTTCACACCTTTAAAAAGTCATAGTATGAAAATGTGCACCAACTCGCTCAGCATACAGCGGTTGTTTCCCAATCTTTTTGTCTCGTTGTAAATTAGCGCCCTCTGCTGGTGAAATATAAGTAAGGACAGTGACTTCGCTCGTATCCCCCCGCCCGCCCTGCAAATTAAACAGGGCGCTGGGTTCGCTCATACCCCCCCCCCCTCCTATGTGTAATCGTTGTTGTATTATGTACATACAATAAGGCAAGGCCCGCGACCAAAAACTGGTTTCGTAAAGATCCCGTAAATAAAAGTAGCTGCTCTCGAGAGTAAAGAAAACTGCTCTGGGGGAAAAAAAACCCTGCTCTTTAATAAAAAGGGCTCTTGAAAAAAAAATGCTTTAAAAAAAGTGCCGTGTAAAAAAAAATATATAACTGCTCTCGAAAATGAAAAGCGATGGCACTAACGGGCTTTCGTACTGGGTGTTGTCACTGTTTTTTTTTTGCGAGAGTGCATGTACAAACCCATGCACATAATTGTTACAACGGATTCGTAATTCCTACCTTTTATTATAGATCATCCCTGCTTGAATAACATTGAAATATCTAGATCGGATCACGTCAGCTGAGGTCTTGTGCCTTCAGTGTCCGAAAGCACTTTCCTTTCAAATCGGGCTGATAACAACCTCGTCCCCAGTGCTTCCTTTATTTCCAACCGCATTTCCAATAGTAAGCCCTGAGGAAACTTTCTTCCCGTGTCCAGATTCGATGCCGCAATTGGCTAGAAATGGATTTTTATCGTGTACTTGGTGCTGTTAATCAAAATGTGCAATACGTGTTTTCGCGATCATTCGTCCACGCCTTTTCGAAAATACTCATTTCCTTTCCCAGTTTGCTCATATTTATATGAAATGTGATACTGCATGTTGTTTCGATAAGATTGTAACAATTTAATTAAATAAATCGTGTTTTCGTAACTCACGCCATGCTCGCGCTGCGACGAATTGACTCTGTTTTTACCCCATACACCGCATACAAAAACAAGCGCTAATGTAACGCACATGCAGGCACCAGACTATTCTTCATTTACATACGTGTTCAAAAATCTTGCACATGCAAATGAGCCAATACCAGGGTGAGAGAGCAGGCAGTGATGGACGCGTACTGCTCGACACCCTGGGGACGAAGTTGGGCTGATAATAATAAGCATTGACGTTAACGTCTCCTCGATCGTGTCACCAGGTCAGCTTAGCCATTCAATGTTTGTCAGGGAAGTAAATAACCCGCATATTTCAGCAAGGTTCTAGGGAGGCGGGTCCATGCGCCATGCATCGGCCGACCAGCTTTGGAAAAAAAACAGTTTTTCTTGAAAATGTCAGCCCACCAGGAGCCACGATTTTAAAGGATGTTTAAGACTGTCATTCCCTAACAATTTAGTAAGGTATTTCGTGATAATTTGACCATTTCGTTTTTTGATGATAATGTTGTATTTTCCCTTTAAGCGGATCTGCCCAATAACGAGGCAGCGGCAATATATTTTCCCCGACACATACGGTTAACTATTTTTGTTGCCCACTTCTTCCGTAAATTATTCTCAACTTTGAAGACTCTTTTAAAGTTGTATCTAACTTTTGCATTTGCCGAACAACGTCAATTAGCCAATAAACATGGGGAAACATTGACCAACTGTTACAGTTTCGTGGTTTAAATTTACCCAACGAATCATTTGCCCTATATTTTTACAGTTGGCAGTTTCGGGCACGTCTCCCCCCCCCCCCCCCCCCCCCATCCAAAAATAAATGACCTTGCCTCTGGTACCAGTATAAAACAACGGAAGATCCGTCATGCATTCATAATAAACTTGTCATAAAAAAGAATAAGTGTGGAGCTTACATGCAGTATGTTATTGCATCTGCAATTACAAGGTGACAGAGTTTTGATTGTTTCAGTGACGCAGTGAAGTTAACTCGTGTCGCACTGACCATTCGACTTCAGTTGCCCTCTGGTGAAACAGCCAAACATTTTGAGCAATGTGGATCAAACAGTTGGTCTCCGGAATTGTCCTTTTCTGCCTTCTCCTCTTGGCAGTTGTCGAACGCCCGGACCGGCAGTGGGTGGTGTTTGCAGACGACACTGGTATGTAGCCTACATGTTTGGGGAGTCAGGGGAGCAGGTTGGTGTAGCGGTACTTTCCACACCTTCCACCGCTGTGACCCGAGTTCGAATCCCACTTGGGTTAATATGTGGATGGGGTTTTCAGTCAATGCGTTGTCAGTCCCTACATGATTCCAAATCGATGATTCAGAAAATTCCTCTGGGGTTTTCCTCCCACCTGTAAAACTGTAGTTTTCATTGTCTCCTCTCTACAGTTTTCTTCCGGCTTGCGAGATGCAGAATCCTTGGTTTCGTTGGGACCATACTAATAACATACATTCTGATGATTTTTTGGGGGTTTGAAGGCCTACATGCATGTTGCTCTTTTCACAGAAATATTTTCGAGACAAAATTATCACAGTAAATAATGTTGTTGTTTTTTTTTCGAAAAAAAAGCAATGATCGCCCAAAACGAAAATACTGAGTATTTATTGTTTTACTTCGAAAATTTCAATTAAAGACATCATATTTCATTCGTATATCCCAAACATTTTACCGACGTATCGCATTATCATCAAAAAGCATTATTGATTTTGAGATAAAAACAAATCCCGGACTTTCGAGACAAAATTATCACGGTAAATCCGAGTAGCACGCTGTCACTTAGAAAAGCAAATATAAGTGAGTTTCAACGGTCAGTCAATTGACTGATTTGACACGGAGTGTCATGGACGAAATCGTGTTTCGTGATCGAAATGATGTGCATGGTTTTTCATTGTTTTCTCGAAACGTGTATCCACTGAGTTGAAATTTCAACAGGTTAGGTTTTGATCTACACCCGAACCCAAACCAGATAGCCTATCAGACCCAAGTTTCGCTTCTTGTTAACTGTTAGTGATACTTATGACTTTCTCTTTTGCCTTTTGCTATATTGCTATATAGTGTTCAAATGTGTACCTCGATTTGACTCGAGCTAAGTATTTGACTCGACTCGACTCGACTCGACAACATACACACTGTGACTCGACTCAACTTGACTCGACCTGCTTGACTTAATGAATCGACTCGACTCGAGTCACTTCTTTAAAATGACTCGACTCGACTCCAGTCACAAACAACTCAGTGACTTCCGGGTCATGCAAAGAGTAATAGACGCGTTAATTTGGGGCGTAAAATTGACTAATGAGTTCATCTCGAAGCAAAAATAATGCCGAACTTAAGTGTGCACATCTTTATTATCTCGAAACGTTTCTTCCCAGATTTCAACAAGACTTTGCATGAGTTTGAGGTCCGTCTCACCGGGGGCCGCTACCCGAACGAGGGCCTCTTGGAGCTCCGATGGCCCCCCGCCCAGCCGGAGTGGGGGACTTCCTGCACGGACATCGAGGAACCGTTCAAGGTGGGCCATGTGGCATGCCTGGCACTCGGCTATCAGGCCGCCTACTCGGTGCGGGCCACGGCACCTTTCGCTCTGAACACCGGCCCGATATGGTTTCGGGGCATACACTGCGGTAAGGAGGTGCTACAAGACCATGGAATGTTGGAGGACTGCACTCTGCAACCCTGGCACCTGAGCAATGCTTCATGCGACCACAGTTGGGACGTGGGTTTGGTATGCTACACAGGTAGGCACTGCAGTCTTCTGACGATGACTAGAGCAGGCTAGTCGAAACGTTGAGACCAAAGACAAGTTCTTTTAGAACGAAGCAGGACTGTTCTTATCAGAACTAAAAACTATACTGAGAGAAAGTTGATTGTAATCAGGACAAGTTCTTATTAGAACTAAACATCTACTGAACGACTTGACAGTAGTTATTATGGTGTTACCGCAAACCGAAACGATACTATATGAATCATTTTAACGCTTGTCAAGAATGAGATGCACAAATAATAATAGGGGAAGATTGGTCGTCATAAGGCAATCGTTAGACATTCACCTGTGATATAGCCCAAATCTGGATTCCAGATATTCAAATATGCGCATAATTTGTTTAGTCTGAGTTTCAACCGTTGTCCAACGAAGCCTTAGCTCCGGAACCAACGTCTGATATTGTGCGTGCAAATTTTATGCGACCCCGCGCGCCTGCCAATCGGAGTCGACTTAAGAAATAGTGACGTCATTTCGACCAGAAATGTGGACTAAGCTGTTGGCTGGTCAATTTGACTACCATCTTTGTGTATAAATACAACAACACGTTACGGAAGACCCTGTAGAAGGCGCCCGCTGAATGGTCAGAATCTCGAGGTCAAGACGCAGTCTTGTTTTGCATAATCAATCGCTGAATCTGCTCGCATATCATAGACGTTTGCTGTGCAAGCGGCTATTCCATAGACTAAGAATTTGTCGGGTCCGATTACAAAAATTCCCGAATGCTGGATTTGATTCATTCAGGTGATAGCAATCTTTTTCAAAATGTCTTGACAATTTTCTTCGATATTAGTACTTCTCTTGACACTTCTTGCCTAAAAAGGCAATGCATTTATAAAAATCACCCTGAATACTTAGAAAGTGCAAGTTTTAGTTTTGAAAAAAAAGGAAACAATTGGAACAAAATCTCGAGAAATGATTTTGCCCAATACAAATTGTTTTAGCGCCCTCTAACGGGGAATTTAGATGCCGACATTTATTTGATGAGAAATGACCCCTAAACTGTTTGAACCAAAATTTAAGGTACGAATGAAAAAAATAATACATAGGCCTTAAGTCACAAATACTGTTTTTGCCCCTCCCCCTCCAAAAGAGAAAAATATGCAAAGCGCCCTTTTGTGGTCAAAGCAGGTCAACCGAATGACGTCATAGTGTAGATTGCTGGTCAACCATCATTCCTGCCAAATTTGAGGAAAATCTGCCCTCGCATATGGAAATTAGAATTGAGGGGAGGGGGTGACACACAATATGCCCCGGTCCTGAGAAGACCTGGAATACCCCCTGTCCTGATGATAAGGTTAATCGGCCTAAAATATGATACCATCTGTGCCTGGAGATTTATTACTTTTAAACTGACAATGTCATCACTTTCTGTTTGTGTTATAGGATTAAAGAACCCGTTGCTGGAGATTGGGACCAGTTAAATTCGGAAACAATCAGTTGGTTGTTGTGCCAAGACAATCTTGTGTTGTGGTTTGCACGATTACAAAACTGTCACTCAGGATATCCTGTTCTTTCTTCACATTGCAAACTGTAACATTGCACATTACGTCACTCAAAGCTGTAAATGTCCCTAGCATTAGAAATAACTCTTTTGGTAGCTTCTTACTGTCAAAGGTGAGTTTTTTTTGTGTCTTGTCGTCGAATCAACAGGCGATGTCCGACTCGCGGATGGCAACTCGACTAACGAGGGTCGAATCGAGCTCCACATCGGCGGCGACCAGTGGTTGTCTCTGTACGGCGCTTCGTCGTCGTCAGACACAACAATGTCCGATGTGGCGTGCCGGTATCTGGGGTACCCCTTTGCCGTCGGTTCGTCCTCCGAGCAAGTCGACCGGGAGAGCGTGCTGTGTGGGCACGGCTTCTGCTGGGGATCGGAGAGCTCACCGGTCGATTGTCAGTACGACAGCAAGGCCGTACCATGTGCGGACCTAGACTTTATCGAAAAACCCTACGTCCATACGAGCTTTGTGCGCCCTCGGTAAATGTTCATATACCTAGGTTGAGAGAATTTATGTTTGGTGTTGTTAAATGTTTAAATCTAGTTATTTTCTCAGTTATGGGAGAAGGGGCGGTGGAAGCGAGATGTCAGTGGAAAGATTCCTCCACTTTCGAACGTCCAACATTTTTGCCCTATTCAGTTGAAGTTTCATTGAGATTAAATTAAAATTTAAATTAATATCTCCGCCAATGCACCGCCCAACAGAAGCATCCCATTCCAGCAACATGATGACAAAGGAAACCTTCCGATTATCTCTACGTTATGTTGATTATAACACAATGACATAGATTATTACTAGTCTACGTTATGTTGCACCAACCTCACCTTTCTGCTTCACATGTTAAGTGAATATCTTGGAATCAATTCGGGCGATTCACAATGCAGTGCGCCACCAAAAGTTTGCCATGAAGAGTCCATTTCTCAAGTCTACGGTCGACAAAACACGGCCCATTTGAATGAGTGTCAGTAGACAACTTGAGCTAATTCTTTATAGATTGGAGCATACCATTCTCCCGCCTTACAAAAAACACCATATTAATAAAAGGAAAAGAAAAGGGCAAACATATTCTCCAATCATACGCTAGGAAACTACTGACCGGAAAAAGTAACATTTTAAAACGTCCCGCGCTGCGAATTTGTCGACCATCTCCCACAATGCAATGGGAAAAATTAACTCTACATGGCAAACTTTTGGCGGCGCACTGCATTGTGAATCGCCCGAATTGGTTCCTCTGGTCTTCAACTTCGTCAGAAGATTGTTTTGTCACAACCAGTGTTGTGTCGATTCCACACAAAAAAACCACCTGGGAAGTCCGGTCACAATGCATGCACCAGCGAATGAGGCATGTATTTGTCAGATCATTTGCGAATTGACTCCTACTCGGGACTGGATGACTCAAGATTGAGTCGTGATGGAATTGTGAGGAATCTGTGTGGTAGACTTGACTATAATATACTTGCTCTCAACCTTTTCAAACTGTTCAGACTCTGACGTGGTCCCAAACGAGGACGTTCTTGAGTTCCGACTGGTGGGCAGTGCCGACAATCACTCGGGTCTGGTACAGGTCCGGGACACAACGCTGGCGGACGACGGCTGGCGCACGCTTTGCAATGAGAATCTTTTTTTTTTTCATCGTGGACGAGCCTGTTGCGAGACTCGGAGACCTCATTTGTGAACAGCTAGGTACGTGAGAGTGATTTGATGCTTTGCATGGTGGTTAGCACAACTTGTGTGAACATTGAGAATACACCATGATTGTGCATGCAGTTATGTCATCCTCTCTAACCAATGTCTCGGCTTGCTCCAGCACGTTTGTTTATGGTGTAAGTCGAGGATTTTCTTTTGATCCTCTTCCCTTTTCCTTTGTTTGTACCCTAACATTTTACGCAACGGCTCTCATTGGTTTTGTACACGTTTTCTAACCGAGGAGTCCTCGATTCAGTTTCTGAGCTCAATTCACCGATGATGTTGCACGTGTGTGTCTTCGATTTACACCTTAAACAAACGCGCGTGATTCGGACAAGACGACCATGGTAAACCGAGTAAGAATAAACGAAGATACCTAACTTTCTTACAACTTTTCGAACCTGCCTGATTTGAAGCCGTTATTCTTTTGTTCACAAAGAGTTTCCGTGGTCATATGACACCGAGTCGGTCGCCCTGGCGGACGTACGGGTCCTCTATCGAGCTGACTGGAATGCCATCAGGGGTGCAGAGCTGCTGCGACGCCGCGTCATCAAGGAGGGTGCTGATGGTTCCAGGGCAGAAACTGAAGACCTTTTCAATTGGAAATGGGTGCGGACGGAAAATGTATGTGAACAGCATGGCTATCCGGGTCTGCGAGTGACGTGCGCAACAGGTAATTTGCATTGGTTCTGCACTTTAGCCGTGATATATATTTAATTTTTAGTAATGTAAGTAACCTTAAATTAGCAACTGGAGCATTTTGGAAAATGTTTCCTGGTTTTTTGTTTACAACGTGAACCGGAATGGCACATATGGAAAAAAAATGGAGAAAAAAATGCATGCGTGCTGTTAACAAGGTTACTGAATGCTCTATGGTTTCTGATGAGTGTCACTTCATTTGTTTTTTGTCTAGGTGTGGAACTTTATGGCGAACGAGTTTACCCTTGCCCTCAGCAGACATGCAAGCAGCGTTGCGGGACAGCAGTAGCTGGTTTGTGTGGATGTGATTCCGCATGCACGCTTTGCAACGACTGTTGTCCCGATTACACTTCGATATGCGCTCCAGATGGCGCACTGCCTTATCCTCCCAATTTCCCCTTGGCCTGTCGGGTCTCGTCTGCCAACCAACGCGAATATATAATCCAGAGGTGCGGGTGGGATTGGGCTGACGATGATGTCAGGAACAGATGTGAAGGGGATTCCCCCGTCGACCTGGTGTACCATGTACCAGATGAATCATCCCATCCACCTCTTTTCAGAAACAGGGAATGTGCCCAGTGCAACTACATCAACACAACATCAGCTAACATGGTTGACTACGAGACATACAAGAACACGACGGTACCTCCTTACTGGACTCCGCCACTAATAGGTGCTTGCCCGAGTGGCTATAATGGATCAACTGAGCTTCGGGAGGGTTGCGCTGGTTATTCCGCGAGCTTTACCATCAACGAATCTTGGTACAAGAATCCCCACTGCGCCCTTTGTAACGGAGAAGACCTCACGAGTCTCGACTACTGCTACCGAGAGTACGGGATTGTCGCTCCTGCAAGTCTTGAGATTATCTTAGGCCGGGATTCAGACGCTTGGTTTCCTTCGCCGTCGCTAGAAATTCACCTTGGGGACTCAGTTCGTTGCCTGCGTAAAGAATACCACCTGACCATTGTGCCGAAACCCTCTCAATCCAGTCTCGCGATCGATCCGAAAGAGAGTCTCCCCATGAGAGCGTACGAGGCCGCTAGTTGTTTGATACGACGGATGGCTTGGCAAAGCGTCCCACTGACACTGCCTTTCATATCACAGTTGCTCGCCGTCGACGCAGAAGAATTCCCAACAGGAGATGGTACGCTGCTCTCAACATCCCTTGGTAATTTCTCAGACACGAAAGCGCTCCTTCACGGCTTGTTAACTGTAGAAGAAACGTCGGACGAGTCGGTCCAGGACACGTGGGTTGATCAATGCAACTTGGAGGTGGTCGAACTGGCAGAGGTTTGCACTATTGCAAATGTGACCAATGTGAGAACATGTCACCACCAGTGGTTTAGTACCAAAGACGCAGAAGTCGTAAGCAACATTTCAATCAGCAACGTTTCGGTTCTGTATTTGGGAAATGGTGTCATTGTTGAACCCTACTATCTTTCCCACGTGCACGTGTACCGGAACACCGATGCTGGCAGGTTCTTCAATGAAACAGAAGTGAGGGTTTGTGGTCGGGAACTGGAACAACTGACTTGTCGCTTCCCTCCGGTGAATGATACATTGGTTATTGTGCGAGATGGAACCGTGTATCTCTCATACGCAGGTCGAGAGTTCCTCGAAGGGGAGTTCGTGTCCTTGCCTGATGGGCTCATTCTCATTTGCTCGGATGTGTTCAAAGAAGATGGCCCGTACATCAATCTATCAGAGCCCCTCACTTTGGTCAACTTCCTGGGTTTTGTAATTTCTATGGCAGCTCTCGTGGCCACTTTTGCTACCTACTTGACGTTCTCGGAGCTGAGGAACGTTCCCGGTGCAGCCATCATGAGTCTCTGCGCTGCCTTGTTCGTCGCTCAGCTCCTGTCCGTGACAGCCCTTGGTTCTACTCTAAACAGCTCGGTCTGCGTGACCATTGCTGTTGTCTTGCATTACCTCTGGCTGTCCACTTTTACCTGGCAGACGGTGCTAGCCTGGGACCTAAGGAAAACCTTCGCGTCCAATCGTCCCTCCTTGGGAGCCTCCAAGATGAAGCGCTTCTTCCTTTACTCTGTCTACGGTTGGGGTGCCCCTGTCTTGGTCGTCAGTGTTTTCTTTGCCTTCCATCTGTGTGGTGACTGTATGGGTCTGGGGTACCGATACGGCAGCGACAAAGCCTGCTGGATTATTGGTCGGTTTGCGGTGCTGCTAGCTTTTGGGGTCCCGATGATGTCTTCCGTTATCCTGAATGGAGTACTCTTCGCAACTACTGTCTGGGGTGTTCATAAGACCCTGAAGGCAGCCTCCATGGTACATCAAGACAGATCTAAATCTCAGAGGGCTTCCACCGAGTTAGTAATTTATCTGAAGGTAAGGTTTATCTTCCCTTTTTATATTGGAAAGGCAGTAAATTAGGCTGTTTGCAGTACATTATAGTCATACAATTTGATAACGTTGTGGAGTAGACTAGACACCGACATGCTTTTTGGCTATTTTATCCAGATTTCTTGCGTGATGGGCTTCACTTGGATCCTCGGATGCCTCGCCCAAGTCACGTCATACCGCCCTCTGTGGTTCCTTTTCGCCATCACCAACTCAGCACAGGGCGTCATCATTTTCGTAGTGTATGCGTGCAATGCTCGCGTGAGGGCAATGTGGAGGCAACGACTGCGCAGGACAGAGGCCAAGAAATCTGACTCGGCTGCTCGAACAACTAAGGCGAGCACTCCGGTCACAAAAGGTCACTCCGGAAACAAGAGGGGGCTGTGACGTCAACAGTGTTTAGTGAAGGGCAAAACCTAATATTAATTTGCATTACCCCGACGAAATTCATCTGATGAATAGTTTAATCGCGGTACCCGCTGTACATTGTACATCAGATTCGATCCAGCCAACCGATCCTGCAAGCTCGATGGTCGAGTGGTAAAACGTCTGCACTAGAAAGCAGGAGGTCGTGGTTTCGAGTCCCACGCGGGTGATTTTTTTCCAACTTTCACTCCGGATGTGACACTGAGTATTCAGTGTTTATACGTCGGTAAAGGACACCTGACGTTGATTTACATTTACATCACCCCGACGCAAATTTATCTGATGAATACATCATTATTAATTACAACTTATTGTTATTAGTATTATTATTATTCTGGTTTATTAAAAAAAAACACCATGTGGCAGCCACTGAGCCACAAAATATGTGGTTGATGAGACCGGCTTACAATACGTTTAACATTACTTATAATACATATAAATAAAGAAAGGCTCGTTACAGAAGTACAATTTAAACCGTGAATTATATATTATTAAAACGTTGATCGGATTTAAAAAAAAAAATACTCAGAATTTACCTTAAACATCGTGAGAGGATAGTGGCATTAAAATTGGATTAGGCCTTTTTTGAAAACTAAAGTGATATTAAAATGTGTATGAAAAAGATGTAAATATCAAAGTACAAACAAACCCTGATTATTGAGAACATATACATGTATATTAAAATTATATAAAAACGTGGAAGTTATATGGGTGAGGGGCCCGAGGACACCGTTTTTCTAATTACACAATTCACAGAAACCAAGTCGGTGAGGGGAGCATCGTATTTTTTTCAAAATAAAAACTATAATGCAAAGAAAAAACAGGAAGCATCTATACAGGGTGCGTCAAAAAGAAAGGTACCCAATTTGAAAAATATTGTTAAAATGTTTCGTTTGCTCCATTTTGCACGTACAAAAACAACATGGGATAAAGTATATTTTATTGACTTTTAACGGTGAGCATTTTCGTAATTTGCATACTCTATTCCCAATTATCATCTTTCAATTTCTGTTCAATTTTATGAGGGGTTGTCCAACGATAATTGGTAGAGAATTTCGTCCAAAGATGATCACCCCAACAAGCAGGCCTAGAGCCCATTGCCATTTCGAAAAAGGACGCCTATATACGCTCATTTTTAGGGCCTTCTTTCATCCACATTTCACTGATACGATTTCGTAGTTCTCTGCACGGGCTTCCACTTTTTTTTTAAACCCTCAAGTTTACGGCCCTCAAAACGCTCTTATCCCGGATATCAATTTGCATTCAAATCGCTATTTGGCGGGCGTAGGCAATTGTGAACTACTTGTCTCAGGGTTCGACCTTAACTTTATTTTTCACTAGCCAGTCGGACTACTGAACGGACTCTTAACTAGCCCGCGGACATTTACACTTAGTCCGCATGTTTTTCTTTTATAGAATTTCTCATACACAACAATGTGCATACATATAAAACGTGTATCCTGAGGTAATCTTTGCATGGGTTTTAACAAACAGATCTTATAATTCAAACTAATAAGACACAAACTGATACATGTTTGCTTTCTGAATATAAAGATATATTTCTTCTTGTCCTTTCATCTTTGCCGTATCCCAGTAATGTTTGACTCGCCAGCAGGGCTACATAAGCATTTGGCTAGCGGGCTACGCTATTTAAAGTCGAACCCTGCTTGTGTGCATTTCACTGTTTTTAATACTTGACAATAAAGCATTAAACATCGTGTAAGTTTATATCTTGTAAGTTATTCAGTGTGTTGTCGATGTACAATGGCAAATTACATTTCGATGTACATGTATATGACAAAATGCGATGCGGTTCTTGCGTGCTTCGTTCTGGAAGACTCCCACATGATGATAATTCTTGTACAAATTGTTCCGAATTGAGCTAAGGTCACTCAACTTAAGGTATGCATAATTATTATCAGTTCATTAGCATACTCTCTTTTTACCAACCAATTTTGTACATCATACACAGCAATTAAATACTTTTTTTAAACACTTTCTTGCTAACACTTTGTAAACATGTTTAAATACTAAACATCGGTTAGGCCTAAGGATGGATAGTGTTGGCAATTGAATATTGATGTGTAGGAATTGCACACGTAATGTTAAGCTTCCAAACATTCTAATACAAAGTGATTGCGTTTAATTGCTAAACACATGCAGTTTTTAGAGTGTAGTGAAAATGACTAATGGCTTTTGCCCGTTGGGTTGTGGATAACTTTTAAAAATAATTAGTCTTCATTTCAATTATTGTTTCGTAGATTAAACTAATGTCTGGCAAGCCAATTTGCTGTGAAGAAAATGTATTTTTCTAATTAGCGCTGTAGAAGATGGGTCTGTGCCTTTACCTATAGTCTGTGTATCACCCGTTATCCACGGAGCCAGGTCTCCTGTATAACATCTGATATGTCTTGACATGCAGATAATGCAAGCCGTGCGCCAGCCAATCGGAGTCGATTTTACTAAATCGTGACTTCATTGCATTCCTAAATCTGGACTAAACGGTTTGATTGTTCAATTCGAATGCTGTGTTTTGTAAAACAACAACATCCGGGCGCGGTATCGCGTAACATGATACAGAGCGCGTGTCACTATTTTTTTATAGAGCGCGTGACACTTGAAGATATGACGCGCAACGGGTGAATGACCGAAGACCCGATATAGAAAGCGCTCACTGATTGGTCAAAATCTAGGAGGTCAAGAGGCGGGGTCTTGCATTCGCCGTGGTCTATTACACAGACTATATAGCCTTTACCCTGCAACGATTAAAAATGCGTAGGCCTAATTTAAATATCAACTACGAAAAAAATTAAAGAATCAGCATAAAATAATCGTTTATTAATTTAAAAAAAAACCAATCAAATAAAAAAAATAATGACCCCACAACCGAAGATCAGGTATGTGTGTATGTGCTGCCGTGTGCTCCAGTGCCGGCCCCGCAACTGGCATTGTCGCGGCAAGAATTGTGATTGTTATTGGTTTTTGAGTTGACACACACCTTCCGGGTCGGAGGCAACTAACGTTGCACACGGTTGGTATTGTAACGAAATTGGCCTGAGTGCTTGTAGCTTTCGCGCGTCATAGCGCTGAGGCGTGCCATACTTGCTGAGCATGCGCAGTGGGCTGCTTAGGTGACCTTGAGCTGTTTGCGCGCGCTGTGCCTCGTGTGTGTACGTGGCGGGAGTGGCTGTGGAGCTAGCGGACTGAAGAGACGTGTGACGGCGGAGCTCTAAGAGAGTTGTTGTAGGGCGCTAGGCTTGTGTGCGTCAGCGTTGCTGTTGGTGTGTAGTGGGAGCTGGTAGCAGCGAGGCGGAGCGGTATAGCGACCGACCGCCGGATCCCAGAGCAGCGTGAGAGAGGCTGATCGGAGTGTCCGAGACAGCGGGACTGTTGGAGCCGTGTCAGAGAGTCCGTGGCGGCGGCGGTTTGCCGAATCTAGTTGCAGCAGCTCATAGTGCGGGGTATGTCAAGCTGACGTATTTGATAAAGTTAGTGACGAGCACAGTTCAGGACCGATATTGTTGAACCTCCCCACAAGTTATCACATTCAGTAATAATTTCTATTAAGTGCCTTCAGTAATAAACCTCTCTATCAGTAATTCTAAGGCTCAGTAGGAAACTCGATTATATCCCTTAAGGATACAGGAAACCCTTAAGGAACCTCAAGGCTATACCTTAAGGAACAGCAATCCCTTAAGGAATCTGCAACTTAACTGAAGTGATTAAGGCGTCTTAGTTATAATAAAGGGAAAACCCCGCGGCTCTTGAGTGATCTCTCTTTGTCAGATTATTGGGTTCCTGCGCTGCTCTGCCTGGTATTTATCTCCGCTCCATAGGGTCCCCGGGAAAAAGTGTTGCGCGCGGCGATATATGGTTGCCAAACGACCTCCCCCACAGTGCTGTAGGGCTGCCGCTCGCCTGTGCAGTACCGAGTCAAACTTGACCCGGACGGGATTCGCCACATTGGTGTCAGAAGTGGGATAAGGCGTGACACTTTCAGGAGACTGCATCTGCAGTGATGGATTCTAAATGGATGGAGGAGGAGCTGGATGTTCTGAGGATGGAGGCACACCAGGCCGAAAACATGTACGAGGATGCACTCAAGGAAAAACGGGAACTTGAGGAACAAGTACAGAAAATGAAATCAATCATCGAGGATAAGGAAATAAGCCGGACTGAAACACCGGAACTGTTCACCCCAACTCCTGCTGTCTCAAGCACTTTTAGTTCAATACTAGGGATACCAGGCACACCTGCAAACACTAGACAAACGGAGGAGACATCCTTGGTAACCGCGAAGGAAACTAAGAAAAGTGAGGACAGAATTAGGAAACCGAACATTTGTCCTGACCGGTTCAGTGGAAAAGTGCCATGGAAGGACTATAAGGCACATTTTCAAGCTTGTTGCGTAGCAAATGGATGGAAGGACAGCCAGGCTGCTGTATTCTTAGCGGCCAGCCTTCAGGGACAGGCGTTGAAGGTGCTGGGATGCCAACCAGAGGGGAAGGAACTTTCACTTAAGGATCTTTTGGACAGACTAGATCAACGTTTTGGACCAGGACAACAGGCAGATTTCCATCTAATGGAGCTTCGTCATCGTCGTCAGGGCAAGACTGAAACCCTGCAAGAGCTCGGAGCCAGTGTGAGAGAACTTGCAGCATTGGCGTACCCGGAGTTCTCAGACAAGAGTAGAGAGAGACTGGCGAAGGGACATTTCATGGACGCCGTGAAAGTCAGAGAAATCAGGGAGGGTATTTTCCGTTCAAAGCCTGCCACCCTTGATGATTCGATCAAGGCGGCGTTGCAAACACAGAGTTTCCTGCAGACAGAGGATCGTAGGACTAGCGATAAGGCTAGGAAGTTTGCTAGAGTACTAGAAGGCAAGGACGAAATTACGATGAAGGAACTGAAGGGAGAGATAAGAGAAACACAGGAGTCCATGGGACAAGCCTTTGGAAAAATCCAGTCGATGCTACAGGATATCAGTAAGGGTAGCCAGGAGAAACAAGTGGGTTATGATTCTGGACCGAGATCTGGAAAGGGATGGAAAGGCAGAACACAGGACGTGTGTTACAACTGCAAAGCCTCGGGACATTTTGCTAGGAACTGTCCTGCACCAAAGAACGACAAGTGTTACAGTTGCAAGGAAAAGGGACATATTGCACGGGACTGTAAAGCACCCAAACGTGAACAAAACGTAGAGTCGGGAAACGACAAACAGCCTTCCCTGGGGTCCAAGGGTGGGCTGACGATTCGAAAGGACCACAAACAATAGGAGGAATACCTCAGGGGATTACACTTCCCTCAAGGGACCAAAGGAAGGGAGGACTTTATGTGAGTGCACGTGTGAGGGGAGCAGAGACACTTATGTTAATAGATACAGGGGCGACAGACACAATAATTTCGACGGCGGTATACTACAAGATACCGAAGGAACAGAGGCCAACATTGAGCACGGAGGGAGTAGGACTGTATGGAGCTGACGGTCACTCCATAGAGACGATAGGTGGAGCGTGGTTAGAGGTTCAAGTTGGGAAGACTACCTCCCCAGTGCGGGCGATCTTTGCCAAATTGGAGATGGATGGAATCCTTGGGATGGACTACCTCCTACCGACAAGGGGACGGTTAGATTGTCAGGAGTTGGTCCTTGCCCTGAATGGACAAAAGATTAAGTGTGTGAATAAACAGGGCAATAATTTCTGTGCCCGGGTGGTCGTAGGAGAGACCATATCAGTGCCACCAGGGCACGAAGCACTTGTATCAGGGAGAGTGACTCGGAAGTTCACTGGGCTCGGGATAATGGAACCTGCGGAGAGTACAGAGTTGACGGCTAAGGGGCTGATTGTTGCTAGGCTTTTGGTAAAGCCCGAGGAAGATAATTTGCCAATAAGGGTTTTCAACCCAGGAAGGAGAGTATGTGTTGTTAAGGCCGGCAGTATGGCTGGTTTGCTTAGTCAGGTGGCGGAAGAGGACGTGCAACCACATCAACCCATACAAGGAGGACGACCTGACCGGTTGCCTGAACATCTGCAGGACCTGTTCAACCGGAGCATCGAGGGAGTGAAGTCCGAGTATCATGCGGAGGTGGCAGGATTACTTACCGAGTTTCAGGATGTATTCTCGAAGGGTAGTGAGGATATTGGACGCACGGAATGCGTAAAACACCATATAAAGACAGAGGGAAAAAGGCCTATGCGAGAGAGACCCAGGAGATTTCCTGCAGTCGAACAGGAGGAAATTAATCGGCAAGTCCAGGACTTGCTTAAGGACGGAAGGATTGTACCCTCAAGTAGCCCGTGGGCTTCAAACGTAGTGCTCGTCAAAAAGAAGGACGGAAGCAAGCGGTTCTGCGTTGACTATCGGAGACTTAATTCCATAACGATCAAGGATGCCTACCCAATCCCCAGGATTGATGATTCCCTTGATGCGCTTTCTGGGGCCCAGTGGTTTTCTACGCTGGATCTCGCATCTGGCTACTGGCAGGTGGCCCTGGATGAGGAGGCACAGGAGAAATCGGCCTTTGTAGTAAGGGGCGGCCTTTACAGTTGGCGTGTGATGCCTTTCGGGCTAAGCAACGCGCCTTCGACGTTTGAGAGACTTATGGAACGAGTATTAAGTGGCCTTCACTGGGAAACACTTTTAGTGTATCTGGACGATGTTATAGTGTTCGGCAAGACTATACTGGAGGAACTCAGTCGACTGAAGGTCGTGTTGCAGCGCTTGAGAGACGCAGGATTAAAGTTAAAGCCTGCTAAGTGTGATCTGTTCAAACAGAAAGTTCGCTACCTCGGTCATGTAGTAACTCCGGAGGGCATTAGCACGGATCCTGATAAGATCAAGGTGGTCAGGGATTGGCCAGTCCCCAAGACAGTAAAGGAAGTTCGCAGTTTTGTAGGACTAGCGTCCTACTACAGGAGGTTTATAGAGGGGTTTTCAGCGGTGGCGAAGCCTTTGCACAGGCTTACGGAAAAACACAGGGATTTCCAGTGGACCAATGAATGTCAGGCATCCTTCGAGGAATTGAAGAGGCGCCTCACGGAGTCGCCTGTCCTCACTTACCCGGAACCAGATGGAGAGCTGATACTTGACACAGATGCCAGTGACGCAGGGATAGGAGGGGTCCTAGCACAGAGAAAGGATGGCTAAGAGAGGGTCATAGCCTTTGCTAGTAAAGTGTTGAAAAAGGCAGAACAAAATTACTGCGTCACCAGGAGAGAATTGCTGGCGGTGGTGACGTTCTTAAGGCACTTCCGACCGTATATCTATGGACGAAGAATCACAGTGAGGACAGACCATGGAGCCTTAAGGTGGCTCATTAACTTCAGGGAGCCTGCAGGCCAAGTAGCACGATGGCTACAGTTAATCGGGGAGTATGATTTCGAAGTCATCCATCGAGCGGGGAAAGCTCATCAGAACGCGGACAGTCTATCCCGTCGACCCTGTTCCCAGTGCGGGATGGGCGAGTGGGACACCAGTAGAGATGAGGAAACCATATGGAAGGAAAGGGGTAGAGCTCCTTTGACATCACTGAAGGGAGGAGAAACCACCTTAAGTGATGGAGGCGCTCAGGCAGACGTGAAGGAGGGCCGGAAGAAGGAAGAGAAACGAGCAATGAGGTCAGGTGAACCTGAAGAAGAGACGAGTCTTTTTGCTGCCCCCTCGGGAGGAAAGGGGATGGGAACGGAAGCTAAGAGTGTTGATAAGCCACCGAGGGAACCGCAGAAGAAGGAGGCCGAGGAGGAAGAAACTCAGGTCCCCTTGACACCTGGCAGGGAGTTAGAGATAGATGATGTGGCTGGGATATCCTTGTCACCAGCTTCCGTGTCTCTGCTCGACAGTGTGGAGCCGCGACGCAGGATGGTATATGGAGGGAAACCACAAGGGATGATGTCAATGAGGCAGGATGTCCAGGCAGAAGCTAGCGACGGGGAGGAAACAGACCTCAACGACGACGCCTCTATTTCTGTTAACCTTGGGCGAGCACTTCAGGGAAGCTCTCTACGGTATCAGGAGGGGGATCTTCGGAAACGCACCTTTCCACCTGCCACAGATATTCAGCACGGGCAGGCCAAGACGTCAGCACTGGAGGAACCACCACGAGCCAGAGTATGCAGGGTCAGTAGTGGCAACCCTGGGTGGCGACGGGCGACTCCGATCGATACTGCTGATCTGGAAGTGATGATGGCCGGGAATGTTCGTCAAGTGAAGGAGGTCAGCACCAGGAGCCAGTTTCAGAATGGGTTGAAGGTATCTGAAGAGGTCGTAGAGAGGACCTACGATGTGGAGTTTACGGCCGGTTTCATCCTCAAGTAGAGTCTAGGTTTTCTTAAGGTTTACATTGTTGTTTTTAACTTAAAGCATTACTTGTTTCTAACTTAGTTTTGGAACAGTGTAAAAGTTTTATAAGAGAGTATATTTGTTAAAAAAGAGACCGATCTTGCCTTCATTAGCTACCGCATTCCCTTAAGGAATACTGTATTTATTGATGATCTTTGTGTAAACTCCCTCAAGGAGCAGGGTAATTACTTTTGATTATATAGACGTCCTTGAGGTATGTTGTGATTGTATTTCATGTGTATAAACTCCCTGAAGGAGAAAGTGGATCCTTGTCTATTTTTGATAAAGCCGTATCAGGTGTGATTGTTTTGGACACTCCCTTAAGGAGCTCCCTTAAGGAACCTCAGAATCTTACCTTTCTTTAAATTTCCCTTAAGGAGACCACAGTAGCCTTAAAGGTAAAGGTTCTTATTTGTGTATAAGTGAACTCTATATTTTCATTGTATAAGATGGCACCTCAGTTAATTTCGTTTTGGTTGTTTTTCAGTTTAACGGACCGGGACGGTCCGAACTTAAGGTTGGGGCTGTGTAACGAAATTGGCCTGAGTGCTTGTAGCTTTCGCGCGTCATAGCGCTGAGGCGTGCCATACTTGCTGAGCATGCGCAGTGGGCTGCTTAGGTGACCTTGAGCTGTTTGCGCGCGCTGTGCCTCGTGTGTGTACGTGGCGGGAGTGGCTGTGGAGCTAGCGGACTGAAGAGACGTGTGACGGCGGAGCTCTAAGAGAGTTGTTGTAGGGCGCTAGGCTTGTGTGCGTCAGCGTTGCTGTTGGTGTGTAGTGGGAGCTGGTAGCAGCGAGGCGGAGCGGTATAGCGACCGACCGCCGGATCCCAGAGCAGCGTGAGAGAGGCTGATCGGAGTGTCCGAGACAGCGGGACTGTTGGAGCCGTGTCAGAGAGTCCGTGGCGGCGGCGGTTTGCCGAATCTAGTTGCAGCAGCTCATAGTGCGGGGTATGTCAAGCTGACGTATTTGATAAAGTTAGTGACGAGCACAGTTCAGGACCGATATTGTTGAACCTCCCCACTAGTTATCACATTCAGTAATAATTTCTATTAAGTGCCTTCAGTAATAAACCTCTCTATCAGTAATTCTAAGGCTCAGTAGGAAACTCGATTATATCCCTTAAGGATACAGGAAACCCTTAAGGAACCTCAAGGCTATACCTTAAGGAACAGCAATCCCTTAAGGAATCTGCAACTTAACTGAAGTGATTAAGGCGTCTTAGTTATAATAAAGGGAAAACCCCGCGGCGCTTGAGTGATCTCTCTTTGTCAGATTATTGGGTTCCTGCGCTGCTCTGCCTGGTATTTATCTCCGCTCCATAGGGTCCCCGGGAAAAAGTGTTGCGCGCGGCGATATATGGTTGCCAAACGACCTCCCCCACAGTGCTGTAGGGCTGCCGCTCGCCTGTGCAGTACCGAGTCAAACTTGACCCGGACGGGATTCGCCACAGTATTTATGTGCCGCTTTTCCTGGGACAAACATAATCACAGTTTTAATGTTTTTTGCGAAGATAGTACTGTGGTTTCATCGTTCTAAATTGTTGTCAAAATTGTTGATTGGAATCAAGTAATGTGCACAAAATTGTACATGAAATTGAATTAGGATGACTAAACTTTGCATTCAGAACCCTTGTTTTGATGGATATAGGGCATACTTTTGCACCAAAATGATCATTTTCAGCAACAGTCCTCGTGACTGTGACCGCGTCATGAACCACTGTTTGTATTGTTCGTGCCCACAAAACATGAAAGAGGTCGTAAATATTGTTGAATAAAACATGTTTATTCATGTTTACGAGGGTTAGAGCGTAAGGGCTATGACTATTCATGAAAATTTGTTATGTTTTTATTGTGTGTGACAAATATATGGAAAACCGACTGGCATTAAGCACCATGTTCTGCATTTATTAGGACCCCCTCAATTGATAGAATATAATGCATGCGTATGCAGGCCAATTAATTAAAACATTTCCTGAATCCCGACTATAAAACTCAATAATCTTTTAAGAGCTGTTAAATATAAGTTGATGATTGGTAGCGATGGTTGAAGCATTTTAAATCAAAACACACAACGTTGTAGAGATGCAGTTTGTTTCAAATCTCTATTCTATTCATTTGGGAATAAAAGAAAAATTAAAAAACATACATTACATTTCACAAAGGGTGGAGTTCAGTTCCCGTGCACCGGGATACAACGTATAGTTCACTAGTAATACAAGATAAAATATCTGCAGTGTCCTAAAAGTTTACAATCTTTTTTGCTGTAGACCTATTAGTTATTATCTTTTAAACAGGGGACTTTCTTTAGTATCAATTGTAGTTTACGACTGAATGTGATCAGCAACATATCCAGGTTGTGCTTCGGGTAGAGGCGGGGGCAGCAAAAAAGATGGGTTTTTTTACCGCAAAAAAGTTGTTGCTATAAGGCCAAATAAAAAAAAAACATGTTTCTCGTTCGGGTTTTTGAAAAAAAGGAGGAAGCGGGGCTTTTTTTAATTTTTTTTATTTGTTTCAAGATGGCCGCCATTTAAAAATTTCCTGCAACCGTTGGTGTTTCCACTGTTCAAAGACACTTTTAAAATGAAAGATAGGTTGGACAAGAGAACTGAACATATCTACAGTGTCATTTAGACTTGTATTTGTCTACAATTCATTTTCCGATGAATTTGTGGACTTTTCGATGTTTTTTTCACTGCATTTTTCAAAAATAAATAAAATAAAAAAATCCAGGCGGCCTCCAAAAAGGAAGCGGGTTGGGATGAGAAACATGTTTGTTTTTCTACTTCGCCTAATTCCTTTCATTGTAAAAATGGTTGAAAGCGAGGGGGGGGGGGGTAATACTCCTTTAGGATTGACTGTGAAGTGTAAGTGCTTCTATTTCCTAAAATAAAGGGGGGAAATTGTGAAATGTCTCACCCCCCCCCCTCCGCTGGATATGCCACTGGATGGGGTGAGAGGGTTGTGAGGTGGCTAACCCCTATCCCTTCCATTATTTCTTTGGGGGGGGGGGGGGGGGGGGGGGGAGTTTGAGAAAAATACAAACAAACTTGCCTGAAATAACCAAATTTGAATAATGAGCATTGCATATTGCATAGTTAATTGTTATAGGTCTTTGGTCTCTATAAAGGTTTTGGCCTCAAAAACCTCAGCCACCCTTCCCCTTAAAAAAAATCATGCATGGACTGCAACATCTCATACATCATTGGTAGAAGGCACCAATCTGGCAAAGCTAGTCCGAGGCCAATTTGGTCTAATTTAATGGAGTCCTTGTAGGTTTACATCTGAGTCATTTTTTTTAAAAGTCTCATTCCTTATTCACAGTTGTGAATTTATCAACTTAACATTATAGGCCTTTCTTTTGTTTGTAAACATTGGCGCCATTTTTTATGGGCTGCCTTAAGCGCATAAATTGAAGCCGTGGTTGGCAACACATTTTTTTCCAAAAACGTCCTCATAACGCCATCAACACATAGTAAAAAGGCATATGTAGGAATTATTTTGTAGCTTTGTTGAAAATGTTGTATTTTCAAGTATCAAATAATATGTTGGTGATCTGTAATAACTCTTCTTCATTTTTGTAGTGTTGGACCTTCCATAGCTTTGCAGGCCGTGGTTGGCAAAAATGCCGTTTGCCAACCAAGCGCAGAACTTATTGTCAGTCACCCGATCCGTCAGCCAGTTAGTCAGGCATCTGGAAACAGCAAAGTGGTAAGGAGAGCCTTGAGCAAGTTTAAATCACGATTAGGGCCACTCAGTGAGTCAGTCCATGGGTCAGTCAGTCAGTCGGGTGAGAAGACACGAAGGCTGGCCCATTGGAAACAGCAAAACACTTAAACCGGCCGAAAGGTAGGTGTGCGAATTTTTGCTGAGTTTAGAATTATGCAGTTTCAGAGTTTTTTTGAGTTAAATCGTTTGTTATTGAACACACACCATCCGGGCCAGCCAATTACTTGTAGGTGTGCAACTTGTATTTATGTGCAGTTTTTCTGAGGACAATCCCTATCACAGTGCCTTTCATGGAACAAAAATGTCGCTAGAACGTAGGTATTATACTTTGAATATTTATTGTAGTCAAACGCATCAGTTTCAAATTTCCAACATGGAAAATTGTCAACGATGTGAGTTTGCCGTGCTACTAGTCTGTCGGGAGAAGATTCGCGTATATTTTCAGCCGAAATCTGCAACCATTCCCAACAGTTATTGTGCTCTTGAACTTAGACTCGCATCGGCGCTTGTATTTCCTCGACGAGGTCATGAATATGATTGATATGCCACAATCAGTGCTGAACTCTCAACCACAGCAAACCATTATGTGGACGTACAGCCTACATCTTATACATGTACATGTAGGTCTACACTTCGCCCAATTACAATCGCCGAATTAAAATAGGTTATAGATGTATGATGAACACAGTGTTAATTAATGAAGTGTGCATGCATCCATGCCGTTCCCAATCTGATGATCGAGGCAAATTGACATGAAATTGATGGAAAAGATCGGCAGCACAACTATAAGGCTTGACGAATTACAACTGTGTGCATATGCTATCGTCGAGTTCACATCGTTTGGGGAGCATTAAAAAAAGAGAGATTAAAACACAATTTATGATATGCCCTGTTCACTAGAAACAATATCAGTTCCTAAAATAACTTTATTTGAGTATTAATGTAATTCTCAGTTATTTCAGACCTATCTCTGTAGATATTACCACAATCCCACATCACCACACCCACTTGCCAGTATAAATTAATCCCTGATCCTGCAACACCTCATCAGACAACAAAGTCCGCGATGCAGCACTCACTATCCGAGAGGCGCAGGAAAAGCTCAACCGGCCGAAAGGTAGGTGTGCGAGTTGTTGCGTTTACCGTGTCGCTATTGGGCTGGCCATGCTCCAAGCTTGCAAGCTCCACAGTAAACAGAGATTTGCGATTTTAGATTTTTTTGTGATTTGTTGAACACACACCTTCCGGGCCGGCCAATATTATTCTACAGCAAAAAATGTATTTATGTGGATTTTTTTAAGGACATTCCTTAGCACAGTGCATTTTTTTAAAATCTAAATTGAGGTAAAACCGCTTCTTGGTATTCATTTTTCATTTGATGTCAGGCGTATCAGTTCAAAAATCTGAACACGGAAAACATGAACAATTTGATTTTCCTCTAATACCTGAATCTTACTGCACGAAATGTGCGTAATTTTTAGCCAAATAGTGCAGCTAATCTTGGCGGGCATTATGCGATTGACACGCATCGTCATTTGTATATGAACGACATGCCCACAACGAGTTCATGCATACCGATGTGCCATGACGCTACCTCAACCCCTGCAGAAATAAATACTGCAGCCTATTATTGTGCATACACACATCCATGTGTGTACGTATTTGAGTAATATGGTTCAAGATGACGTTTATGCAAGTTTAATTCACCAGTGATAACATTGAATGAGTGCGTCGATGTGTCTGTGCGGTCCGTGCGGTGCAAAGCATATATATATAGGCTGGTCCCAACGGTATAATAATTTCAGAATTATTGTACGATCGTGAATTGTGATGAGAATTGTATTTGCTTGCATGTGCATAAGCATTATGTCATATTCACATGCATATATACATAGTTATGCATAATGCATAATGCACGTGTGCATAACTTATGTTAATATACGTGTAGACCGACTTACTTATTTACGTGTACATGTGTGGCAGTATTATGTTCTGTACGTCATTCTCTGCAACACTCGTGCGCTGTATTTAGGAGTGTCGATGGCACTTTGCCGAGTGTCAGTGGCATATCAATATTCATGTTATTTCCGAGTGTCGATGGCATATCAATATTCATGACATTGCCGAGTGTCGATGTCATATCAATATTCATGACATTGCTGAGTGCTAATGGCATATCAATATTCATGACATTGC